CAAGCCAAGTTAATTTTGTATATTCAAATTATTTTCGTCCGTCTATTTGTGTTATTTTGACGTTGTACGTGTTGCTCGGCGGTTCGTTGGTGCGGTAGTGTGGGGCGGGATCTCGCGTCACTTAAATATACAACGGGCATGGATTCGATTTGTTTCGCGTCTAATTTGGTGACGACGGCGGGAGGATCGACGTAATCGATGCGAGGTTTTTAGCGCACAACTATTGCGTTTTGCTTACGTCACAGGTCATCTACGACTTGTTTTCTTAAGGCAGGCGCTGGTTAAGATTAGCTACATGCGGAAATACCATTTGAGACTGCGTTTTGGGTGTCCTATAATTATATGCCACCATGATAGAGTATCCTATTATATATGGTAGTGTATTTCGTGAACGTAATTCTTTGAATTGAACCTCGAATCGCCCTTGCAACGACGTGACTGCCCCGGGCAGAGCAAGACCGGCTTTCTGGTTTGCAGGCATTACTTGCATACTCGTATAAAGTGGTAAAAATATGCAGGCCTTTCATTAGCTCGATTATTCACGTTTTAGTTTAAATATAAAGTAAAACGCTGTTTTTACAAATAATATTGTCCCTTGTTTTTCTTGTTTTTAAAGAAAATATACGACAATAGCAAAATGTATGTCTATAAAACAGAGAAGTGTTTTCCCGCTTTGTTCAACTTTTAATTTGAGATTTTTATAAAATCTGGAAAATACTTATGATTCGCACTCTGTTCATTGCCAAGGGTCACTAGTAACGTTTTCCTCGTTCTTTATAATACTTATTATATGTTAAAAGTCCGCATAAATTTAAAGACTTACGGTAATAAAAACAAGCAAATCAATAAAAAGTTTATAGGAACCGTAGCTGTATTTGGCTTACAAACATCATGTGATTGTTCAATAGTAAGTGATGAGAGACGACTTGTCAACAATCGGTGTGCAAAATGAAATACAAAGTTCGCCAGTTATTATAATACGGGACAAGGTTTGACGTCAATACCTTTGGAGTAAATAAACAAATATATATGCAAGTGAAGTAGTAAACACCATAAAACATTATTCTTATTCAAGATATTTTTCAACGTTGATGTTAGTTTTTTAACAGTTAAATATATACAATTTATAAGATCAAAATATTGTAGTGATGTAAGGTATACATCTTATACAGACAGATTTATTTTATATCATAAGGTGGTAAACAAGCGATTCTGTTGCCCATAGACAAACACGATTGCATATCCATTTCCTACCTTTAATCGATGGAAGGGGGGATGTACAGAAAGAGAACATTTTCCCTTCGCATGCATCCTCTCATCTGGAAGATCCACTGCCACTTCCCCTTATAAGAAAAAGAGAAGGCAAATAGTACAAAAATTACGCCTCCGGTATCACACTCATCAGAGGAAATGCAAAATTCCTCCACTTCACGCCTGTCTTCTGTGTGGTCGTAGCATTGCACTGGGCGAACCGGCCAATTCGTGAGGTTTTAAAGCGGGCTCTACCACTGTTAAAAAATTAGTTTTACTATAAACGTAAAAAATCTCATTTGTATATGTTAATTATTTTTTGTTGACATTGTAAGAAATATTAAAAAAAGAGTCATAAAATATTTTACTACGAAGGTTGTAAAATTTTATGTTGTTTTTAATTTATATTTTACTTTATTGTATGTTGGTTGCAATATTGTTGACTCGTGCCGGGTTGGTGGACGACCTGCTTGTGTAAGAGGTAGAGATATTGCATCAGTTATTTATTGTTGCTTTGTCAACTTTGTAGTCATTCGTAATTCTATTAGTTTCACCTATGTTACTTATAATACTTCGCTATTCATTTAATAACAAACTTAAGTTCTATGTAAAAAATCTTTATTTAAAAAGATTACACGACTATAATGAAAAAATTACAGACGAATAAAAAGATTATGATTTTTATCCCTACCATGTGATAGCTTGATAGAAATTGCCAAAAATAGAATTTTCTCCAAAGTAACTTCCTGATTTTTTTTTCAATGTCACACATGAGCAATTAAACACAAATGAGCAATATAAAAGGAAAAGTAAAGAGTATTTAAAGTAAAAGTAGATACAAGGTTGTATTAATGCAATCGAAATAAAAAACTGTTTCTAGAAAACAAACAATAAATAATAACAACAGTAACAATAGTGTAAGATTTGTAGGCTAACATAGTCTGGGGAAATTACACAATTATCTCTTTAAAATTATGTTTGTGAAAAACATAACAATAAGATTATTTCGTAAAGATAATTTTTGTAGGTAAAAAGTTGTATCATTGTTTAGCACGACTGTCTTTATATGATGTCAATCACCAGTCGCCGTCTAATTGAATGAATTGAACAGAAAAACACTTGATAACATCCTCGTGTTCGTATGACGTACTAATCGTTTATTATTGCAACGTAAGACTCTTGGACTTTGATGAAGTGAAGATTTTGTTACTAAGGTGTATAAAATCGGTTATGTAAAACCACAACAAGCGTATTGTTTTCTTTATGAACTCCCTTTTCTTTCTCTCTTCTCACAATCCATCCATACTTTCTTTTGTGTTCCTCTATCTTTGTAACCATCCACATTCAATCTCATTACTTTTCTTAAGCCAATATTGCACTCTGAATGTATTTTGAGACTATGTAAATTTGATAAACAGTTAAAAAGTGTAAGCCTTACCAGTTCATATTTGGAACCTGAATGATAGATTCAGGTCACGCCGAGAAAGTGACCTTGGATTTATGTCTCCTCGGTGAACACAACGTAGTCGCATTGCCGATAAAAACTTGTTTTCATTTATTTTAAAACTTTTATCGCACATGTAATTAAATAAAGTTAATATTAACATTTAACGAAAAATAAATATCCGCTGTATCAAAGGAATTCTAGAATTTTTTTTTAATTACAGCAGTAAATTTACTTCCAATATTTTTATTTTTGATTTAAATTGTAGCAATGATAAAAACGACATGAACCTTCATGGTGAGTAATAAATATTAGAGGTCGTAACTATTACGATCGTGAGTACAATTCAAACTGGTTTGAAGCAATGAGTAATCAAATGTTGATATGATATTTATTTCTTTATCATCGCCCTGAATAGTGAAGAAAAAATTCAAATTTAATTCTGGCTGGTAAAGTTTTCTTCGCACTAAATTTTTAGTCTATTGAATTTTGCTATTCAACGTTGGTGTTGCAATTAAATATGTATGTATGAAATGTATGTATGTCACATTAAAATAAAATGTGATTAATGAAGTTGAATGGTTTCTTTGTTTACACAACGTTGACGTATACGGAATTCAAGTATCTACTTATAGGATAAGCGCTCGTCTTAATAAAGATTAGCGTGACGTAGACACATGACCAATAATACCTTGCTTGTGAAATTAATCGTTATCTTATTATAACATTTGTACTATTTATTAAGTCCTTCCATTGGTTCCACTAAGCAGCTGATCGCTGACTCTTAGATTAATTGTTTGCCCAAGGTTTATAAATTTCACAAATGTTTATATTATATTTAATGAGTCTTTAATTGATCATTTATTTATTGTACGCCTGACTAGAGTTTTCATTAGCAAAGCTGGTTTATTATAGCTCATACAAATCTTAGCTTCTTGGCGGTTTTGTCAGTTTCACCAATGATCTAGAACAGATGTATCGTAAAATACACAAGCTTGTTATGTGTAAACAACGCTGTCTGTCTTGTAATGTATCGTAAATATGTACCAGATGGAAGATTGTATACGTCAAACCTTTCCACGTGGTGTCATTGTTCACGGGAACAAATATACGAATGTTTTGTTACGGTCACTTGCTACAATTGCTGTTTTGCGCGACCATTTCGTTTTATTACTGCTTATGATGTCTCGCATGTCATTTGTTTTTTATCTTAACGATCAGAAGATAAATGATTATAATAAATTAATTTATTTGTCAAGACTAATTTCATGGCTGATGCGATATGCCATATGCGATCTGTTTATAAGGCAATGTTACTGTGTATCTTTTTATTGTATTCACTGCTTTGCCACGTGTTTTACATATTTCTTTTAAAAAAAATAATTCTCTTAATAAAAAGATATACCTGCTCATGGGGTATAAAAATATTGCTATTATTAATAATAAATATGTTTTCACAAGGTTATTACACAGATGACACATGATATTTTGATAAGTCACTCTAAGCCAAATGCCATGAGTTGTTTAAAACGGCTTAGTGTAGTTGACATTTCTTACGTAAAAGTTTGTAAAACGCCGCATCTCAATCGAAAGTATTGATATAATATAAGATTGTATATTATGAATATCTCATGCAGAGTTTGGATTTACCATAAAAAGCACGATCGTATAAATAACACTACGGGAGAGATTCTTAAAGTAACATGTTAATGATTCTTATGTTTTATTATTTAAAATATACAAAAATCAATTGCTGTTCGTTAGTCTCGCTAAAACTCGAGAACGGATTTATCTTATCTGTCTTGAAATGTTCGTGGAAGTCTAGGGAAGGTTTAAAAGGTGAGAAATATTCTAATAATTGCCGAGAAAACCCTTTAGGAACCTTTTTTTTAATCCCACACGGACGGAGTCGCGGCGACAGTTTGTTTAAAATATTAAAATGTTGAGATGTGTAAACATACTTCATCTGTTGTTCGTTATGATCTATTCACACTAACGTGGAGGAACGGTAGTTGTAGGTTATTGCACGCTCGCCGGCCTTCAGCTATAGGTCCCAGCACCACTCGCCGCTTGGTTACCTTTTACTTCATAAATTCATCCATATCTTGATGAGATCATCATAGTAAATCTTAGTGTAGATTCTTACATAATATTTACAAATAGAGCCTTTCTAACGGCCCTAGGTTCGGCAGTTATTCTTAAGTGCTTCTAATTTCTTCTTATATCTGTGGAGAAAAGTGATAGCTGTTCCCGATAGTCTAAGTTCCCGTGGCGTATGTATGTTTATACGGTATTATGTTTGCAGGTGGACAGCGGCGGAGGTGGCTCGGCCGAAGTGATGGTGTACTCTCTCGGCTGGGGCATGGGCGAGCCGGAGCGGCGTGCCGTGGATCGCAAGCGCGCCCAGCCGCCCTCCGCCACGCACACGCTCTCCCCAGACGAAGGTCATGAGGTCGATGTCTTACCCTTACATAATCAGGTAAGAATCCATATTATTTTGGTATCTTTTTTCTCATAGACGATCAATTCTATTATATGCATGGATGGGAAAGCCGTATTATGTAACATCTCTCACTAGTAGATACATTTTTCCCACGTCATTGTAAGAATCTTACATGTTATTTACATTCAAAGTATTCATTTTAATCGTTTACTTACATTTCGATTGGATTGCCAATAATTTGGATTATTTAAATTTACGCTTATAAAACTGGAACAATGATATTTGTCTTTAAAATGTGTGAAAAATGCGAAACACGTCAAGGCTCGCGCCATTTTTGGTTTGTGCATTCGACGTGAAGTATAAACAAGGTATTAAACCTGAAATCTGAATTTATAACCAATTTTTAATGTAAATTCATACAAAGTAATTCATACAATGTGAGAATTATTGTTTACCAAGATTATTGACAAGTACGTATGAATGCAAATAATTAGCATTGGCAACCCTAAAGAAGAAAGTCGATAAAAGTCGAAAATTAATAATTTCAACACTCTTGAAAAAAATTACGTTATCTTTATGTTTCAAGGTGACGTGACAGACTGAAATTTGTCTAGAACTCTGTGGAAAGGCTAAATTATATAATAAAAAAAGCAATTGATATTTCTAGATACATTTAGATTCGTAAGCTGCGTCACTCCAGACACAAATAGTTGTATTGCTTGCATTCCAGGTCACCCAGTCTCTGGAATAACAAACGATAAATTTAAACTAACGATGTATCTTTGCGAAGATTGTAAGACCTTGATTCTATTCAATGAGTGTCTGGTTTGGTCATTATTAGCTGTATGCCTATTTTTACTTCGTTCACATAAATGTCACTATGCTATGAATACTTGACTAATCGTGAGTTTCCGAGACTAAAAACTGAAAATCCAAAGTTATATCTGTTTTGTCAAAGATTATGACAGGGATGATGATATGTTTTATACAGAGATTATGGTCTGAGAAACTAACGGTAAGTCCATTGAGATGATTATATGATTGGCAGCAAGCCTATCACCTTACTGTGGACATAAATTGTAGTAGATAATAATTTTATAAGCATTGTTCGCAAAGTTAAATTTCAGTACAAGGTAACCATTATTCAAATCCACGGCCACTTTACTTGTCTAATAAATTTGAATTAAACTCGCTTTAAAGACGTTTCTTCTTGGGGACTTTAATATCATGGTCAATTTTAATTTTAAGATATATGAAACTGCACATACATTGGATATTTTCCTTTGCTATAATGCATTTTCCTACATAAGTTAGAGATGCGCATCTTGTAGAACGCATTAGTTAGTAACGCTCTGGATCTTAAGTGATCGAGTAACGTTTAAAACTGTACATGAAATTTCCATATTAATCTTATTCTTTTGTATGCCAATACTGGATGGCTTACTTTATCAATGTAACAATTGGCACAAAAATCAAACATAATATCGAGGTAAACTAAAGTACCTACAAAGTAACCTTTTTAATATTCTTCTACACATAATACTAGGAATGACCTTAGCAAAGGTCCAATAACCCAAACAAAACTGGTTTATTCACACACGGTCTGTGCCGGTATTAAATTATGATTGAAAAAGGGGGTTTTTGTTATCCGACCGGTCCCGTGTCAGACTGAGCGGTGTAAATGGTAGGTGCATGTGATCTGTGGACGTTCGCAGGTTAGCCCGGGGCCGGGTCAAAGCACCCGTCCTTGTTTTTTTTATGTTCCTTTTACATCGGCAGCGCGAGTAGTAACGATCGCCAGGCAGAGTGCACTGCACTGAGCACTGCGATTACAATTGTGAGTGCCATATGTGTCCGATTATTAAACGGCCTGCTTTTTAAAGTCTCGTACGGTGAGACATTAGCTTTGTGGAAAACGATTTATAGCCTTGTGAGACAAATGTGTAATGGAAGTAAAAGTATTCCTTCTGTTTTTGTAACTGACCTATACTAGTTAGTTCCCTCTACAACTGATCTAAGTAATTCCTTTTTCTAATACAATAGTTTGATCGAGTAAACCAATCGCGTCTGTTTCAAATGAATGAAATAAAAAGAGAGAAGACGACATAGGTAAATATTATTCAAATGATTCCGTTGCGTATGCAGACGGCCATTGTGTTGGCCGCGGCTGTACCTGTCGCTATTTTTTTTATATTTCTTTTGTAAAATAACCCGAACAATGCCCAGCTACTGCGATCGCTAAAATATTTTGTTCTAACCGGTTTAAAATCATCGCGGTTATTGTGCATGGCTGTAAGCAATTTAATCGTAATTTTTCGTATTTCTTCAAACCGTTCGTCTTGACTTCAAATGTTGCTGTGGTCTTTTATGATAGATAGATGATGGAGATGCAACACGGGAGGTTACTAGGCGTATTTAATTGACCCATATTGTCTCATTTATCATAATGTAGCCTATCATTGAGGTGACAATCTCCGCAATGCTAATATTTTGTTGTTTGTACAGTTACTTTCAATGTATAAATATTTATTATAACATATAAAGATGAGACATGTGTCAGTCATAAAATAAACAGTTACTCGTAGTATGACAAAGATGGAAAATCTTTCTATGGACCCGACGAATTGACAGGGTCGTGCCAGTCGAGCTACTAGCAAGCCACCTTAGTGACAAATGAAGCTTCAGAATGTATTTTGAATCTCATGTACCATTATCACTAGGTACCTTGTTATCCTTTTATTTTTACTGTCGGAAGTAACCGAGTCAAACGTCATCTGGGATTCGAAGCCGCGACCGGTAGCCCGTGAATCCGTCACTTCATTAACAAAGATATCGCCGGATATATGCCAGCTTTTATTAAAATGTTTGTCGGTAATCAGTCGCAAATGAAAGTCAAATAATGTACAAGTCAAATTAATTTCGTGTATCTTTATAATCGGGCGGATATTTTTATCGGATTACATATTGATAAGAGGACAAAGCGCTAGCAACATTGTAATGATGTGTACTCGTGCCTTTACTGTTTACTAACATAAGTTTAGAACAGGTATTTCTTTGTACAATTCCACTGATTATATTTATACATACACTAGCTATCGTCCGCGACTCCGCGCGGGATTAAAAATAGTAGCCGATTCACAGACCTACTGGATATGCCTATGAAATCTTATAAAAAAATTTCAAGCTTCTGAGGAGTATGGTAACTAATATTGTGACAAAAGAATTTTACTATCTAAAAATTAAAATAAAATAAGATTGGTTCCTTCTCTTTTGTGTGTCGAAAGTAGTTTATGAAATTATTTTATCTTGAAGTACAATAAATGTATACGTCATGTTTATATAGGACAAAACTCAACCCTCTTTGCAAGTCAGGTAAATAGTATCGTTATTTTTAATTTTTTTCAAACATAATGTAAGGGATGACGAAGTTTTAAAGCAGTGTAAATTCACGATTATTTTAACAAATCTTAAGTACAAAGAATTACGAACAAAGGCTTCCAAGTATGTTAACAAGAAAATATTACGTTACGTAATTAACTTGTATAATGGAATTAATTATCAAGTCCCGAGTATATAATAATACTATGTGAATTGAGTAATGTACCTAATAAATCAGACGCATGTATGTGCCAAACGCAATTGGACAAGCTCTTGAACAATATGGGATATTCTTAGTAGCATTTAGATTTAGAGTCGATAGTTACTAAGAAAGCATTCTACTACTATTATGTAAAACATTGGTATGGAATTATATACTTCTTTTTAATATAAACGATAAAGATATGCAACAATCATAAACATACGGTTTGGTTGTTATTTGCCACACGATTTCCTCAACCAAAGAGGAAATTTACTTGACTTGCTGCTTATTTCATATTATACTTGTTTTCAGATAAAATGTTGCGATTTAAAGAGGCCGTCACATGCGTATAACTACCTAGGTTACTAATAAAGATTATTTAGATGAAAGTAGAAGGTTTGATGTTCTTGAAGAGTCTGAGTGGAATAAGTTTTCTAAACACCTTTACTATGCCCACGCATATAAAGCACATTTTAATGTTTGTATAGATGTTTTCATATATCGTAGCGGCTCGGATCATCGCACGTTTCGTTGTGCAGAACACAATGTTAGTTGTAACGTGGCGATAAGGGATGCAGCGAAGTGTACTGCGCTGCGCGGTGATGACCTTGAGCTTCAAGATATTTGAAAATACTTTGATACTAATTGTTTAGTCGAATTTTGTGTAAATTTTTTTGTGTACATGACAACCTTGGTTTAAATTAATTGTCGACTTTGTTCCAGGTGGGCGGTCACACGAGGCTGTTGGTGCTCAACGACAGCACGGTTATCAAGCCCCTCAACATCCGCGAGCTGCATTTCTACCAGAACATTCCCGAAGATATACAGAACTTCGTGCCTCGGTACAAAGGTGAGCCAACACACTTTTATACTAGCAATAAACATTATGCTCGGTACGCTTTAAGATTTCGCTGAGTGCATCATTTTCATTGCATTTTAATACGATTTCATTTGTATTTATTTTTTTGTTCATATGTATCAAGTTGTCAATTTAAAAGTTGGCAATTTCAATTGTGTTCGATATGTGTTGTTTGATGTTATGTTGCATTCGGAGCAGTAAGGAGGTTGCCGATTTTCTTTTTTTTTAAACGTGTTACTTGTATCGATATTACATTATAATGCGATAGTATATGTGCGTCAGAGGAGAATCGATATTGTTTTCTAATTATTCATACGATTATAAAGACGGCACTCAAGTGCTGTTGGCTTATGCTCTCCTTATTGCTTCTTTATCGTTATCACCATTTCAAATTGTGTATGACAGAGACGCATGAGAGTGGATAAAGTGGGTCCCGCTGATTACATAACTCCTATTGAACGCGGTTTCGTCGTCGTCAAAGACGACGTAGTTACTTTTTTTTGCTTTTAATTACAATACAAATAGCTACGGGATTTTTCTATTTTTACTTCAAATACTTTTTTTTTATCAAAATCTATTATTAGTGTTCCGTAAAACAATGTAAGTTGTAAGAAATAATTCATAGCATCCTGTCTTTATGTCAGTAGAACACTTGAATATTTGTAACGTTTGACACACCTAGTACATGGTACTGCGTTTCTCGTGAACACAGACTCTATTGCGCGTTGTTGAATGGAATTCGACTTCATTCCAATAAGTCCAGATTTGCTCTTAAAGCGGAACGCTAATAAATACAATAGCGTTATATTTTTTCTCGATTAAATCCAGATTTCAAATGAACAAATGCACAATATAATCCGTGGTATTTAGAACACATTATTCTCTACAACATTTTATTACTCGAGAGTAAAGGTTTGAGAATGTAACCTATATTGTGCATTGAATAAATAGAACTTTTACCATTACGAAACGAGTATTTCGTAGTTCATGTTCGGAATTATAAAAGTTAGAGAAGAAATCGCTAAAGTGTGTTGCGAAACTGGTAAAAGTTCACTCGAGTTAAGGATGCGGCGACGAGCCAGTGATTGGTTCGCGGCGCGGCGTGACTCGTATGTAGTTAGGCGGCGGGTATGGGCGGTGTGAGCGCGCGAGCGGGAGCGGGAACGCAAGCGGGAGCGGGCCCGGGGTGAGGAACACAATATTAGTTTCCTTGTTGTCGCAAGGGCTGCGGCGCTGCGGCGGGCGGAGCGACGCCGGCGGCACTCCACACAACCGCCTCTAATAGCGCCCTAGCGGTAATTTTACATTATGGGTTTGTAAACCTTTACTTAAACCTACTACACACACGCCACAAACTATCACATCTCAAACCAACCGACATAAGCATACGCAGTTCATATATTCACATTTCCGACCCATACACTCATCAACTACACGAATCATAAAGCTACTACAAAAGATATACAAACCCTTTTTAAAATTACGTTAACCGTTTATATTTTCATTATCCATCTAAAACTAATGCTAGCAATTAGCACCAATCAGATATAATAGTTATTAAACATTTCCATGTACTTGATTCTTAATCTCGGCTAATGCTCATTTTGTCTTAACACACACCAGAGGCCGGGTGAAACGCCCATCTGGGTGTTACTTGAGTCAGTAAAATATTCTATTGTTAAGACGAATCTTCTCTAATAATTATCAAGTTTAAGTGCAAAGAAAACATATAGGCTAGTGATTAGTGTCGGACAGAGCGCGAGTACTGATGGCTTGGCCGTTTGTTGCAGGAGTGATGCAGGCTTCTAACACTGGTGAACAGAAATTGGACAAACGCTACTCGCCATGTTTCCGCGACGAGAACGGGCGCAAGCAGTCCCTGGGCGGCAAGCGCAAGCGAGACGACGTATTCAAGTGCGTATCCGCGGACGCGGCACTGCGGTCGCACTCCTGACACTTGTCATGTGTCCTTTATCATATTTCAGACCGCGAGAGGACGCCATTAATTCATACGATCCTACTTACTATAGCCACTAACGCGCTGACGACCAATTCACGCTCTGGGCGCCACCCGTGACTTGCGTCGTGGAGCCGTGGTAATGATGCATCATTTGATTCTAATGTAAACACTCTGCCAGTTTGTTTGTTAGCGCCTTCATTGTGTTTCTCGCGATTGTTGCCACCTGTGTAATGTTCTACAACTTACGCTTTCCATTACAGATTTAAAGTTCATCGGAACGGCAATGCCAGTGAAGTTCTAAAGAGCATTGCCCACATGGACAATTCTAACAAACAATGTAAGTTTATTGTCTTCTTTTATTACTCGCTAATATGTACGCACAAATTTAAAATCATACAAATTCACTGTTAGCTTATTATGTCTGTAAATGCGCAAATATATATGTAAGTGATAAGCACTTTTACTGTGACTAATTATTTTGATAAGCTCCTGTCATTTATGCTTTTGAAACCATCTCAGCAATACCTTTTTCAACTCCACTGATAACATCGTCTTTTATACCACATTATTTCCTCGTAGCCCTATTTCAAATCGAATAATTCATGGTTACTCGTATTATATTTCTCAAAGATCGCATTTCCACTGCATTAATTTTACCCGTACCCTTATCCTGCAAGTTTAAAATATTCAAACTCTAAAAAAATCTGTTTACTGACTATTAAATACTTTAATAATAGAATATTGAGTACTGCGTATAAATAAAACTGCCATAGAATATTTTATCACGCTTGGATTATGCGTAGTAGAATAATATTATCGTGGGAAGTATATTAATAGCGTTACCTTGGCTTTGGACTGGACAATCACACTAATATTTGCTTTATACACACCTTAGTCCCTATGTAACTGTTGATATAACGTTCGTGGGAGACTTTGTTGCTTTCCGCTGGGAAATAATTACAAGATTGTGTCTATATCATGTTAATATTTATTAATAAACAATTAAAATAAATTAAACTATGCAAATTACGAAAGAACATCCGGTTAATCTGTACCTTAAGACTTACCGTGGGTTTCAGAAACCAAGGGTTAGAATTCTATTTAAATTGATCTGTTGTTTATCCCAGATTTCCTGATGATGGAGAACATAACATCATCGTACCGTCGGCCGTGCGTGCTGGACCTGAAGATGGGCACGCGGCAGCACGGAGACGACGCCTCTGCGGAGAAGCGCACCAAGCAGATCGCCAAATGCGCGGCCAGCACGTCCGCCACGCTCGGTGTACGTCTCTGCGGCATGCAGGTAAACAACTGTTTTTTTTGTTTATTAAAAGGTAGCAAACGAGCCAGTGGCCACCTGATTTCGACAAAATGGCGAAGCGACTCTTCTCCATAGACATCTGCATACCTCCCCGCTGTATCCACGATTAAGATACATTAGCAGCGAATAAATTCAGACGAATTGACTTTATTTAAGACTCATTTCAAACATTTAAATTCATATAATGTATTTCCAAGCATTACAAACGAAATATATGCTTGAATAATAAATGTTACTGGTTTGGCTTGTAATTGAGTAAGGTTAGTTTACACTTTGTCGTTTCCGTATTTTTAGTCCGATAATAATGCCTTGTGGACAATGGCAATATTTGTATATAATATATATTTGTTTAAATTTGTAACTGGTCAAAAATTACACAACATTTTTTGCAGATAGTCGATAGTATTTGGAAATTAAACGTAGAAAATAAATATATTTTTTAATAGTGGTAAAAGTAATGTGAAAAAATGTTAGTTTAAAATGACTAATCATATAATTTTGTGGACAAAAATTTAACGACGGATACAATCCATAACTTTACTTGGCCTTTTATGAACATGCAAATTAATTTACAGAAAGTTTCGACTTTGAAATTTAATCAGCTAATAGTCGATTAAAGGATTTAGTGTTTTGTTGCCGGAAAGTAACACGCTAAAAGGATTAAACACGGAAAGACCTTAACCCTGAACCTCCGTACATTGTTGTAAGGGCAAATTGTACTCGGGCAAGCTTTGAGGCCACTGCAGTATACATAGGAACGTGTTCAATTTGAATAAATTAAATAATTTACGCACGTCTTATTTGCGTACGGATACAGGAAATAATCAAAACGTAAATAAAACTCGTGGAAGTGCATACGTGATAATTTGAGTACACTTCCTGTCGCTAACATTGATTGTTCTTCTCTTGTTGAAATCTTTATTATTTGTTACTGTAATGATTATAAAACTGGGCAGCTTTACTTAAAATAGAATCTTCTCTTTTCTCTTTCGTCATTAACTTCTGCGTAATTAATCGTACTTTGTGGACTTGATTTGGATGTATTGATTAAAACCTACGCACGTGATGTGTACAGGTGTGGATGTCAGGCACGGGGGCGTGCGTGCGGCGCGACAAGTACTGGGGGCGCGCGCTGACGGAGGCGGGGCTGCGCGACGCATTGCGCGACTTCTTCGCAGCGGGCGGCGGACTGCGTGCGCGCGTCGTGCGCCGCGTGCTGCGCGACCTCGACGCCCTGCGGCGCGCCGTCGCCAAGCAGACTAGCTACAGATTCTACTCATGGTACATATACATTACAGCTTTATTTTCTTTTTAATATGATTTTTTTTATTTTTTTATAAGGTAATGTCTGTATTTCATTATTGTGTTCACAGCTCCCTTTTAATAGTATACGAGGGTGACGTTGCGAATCTGTCGACGGACGAGAGCGGCACCTCCGAGTACGACCCGGACGCGTCGAGCAGCTCCGCCGAGCTGGTGCCCTCACCCGCACCCTCGCCCTCCCCGGCGCCCTCGCCAGGACATTTCGACATGTCCACGCTCACCGACGAGATGCCCTCGCCCAGGGAACCCTTCACGCACTCGGAGGAGACTATGGGAGGGTACGAGGAGGGCGAGGTGTCGCACTCGCTGCGCCCACACCCGCCCAGCCCCGACTCCGCGGACAGCTGGATGGCGTACTCGAGCAGCGAGTCGTGGCGCGGCGAGGAGCCTGAAGAAGAGACCAACAAGCGACCGCGCACCCGCGACCCGTGGAGCGAGCCGCCGCCCACCGAGCGCGTCGACATCCGCATGATAGACTTCGCGCACACCGCGTACGCCGGCGCCGCAGCCGAGTCGCCGCTCGCCACCGCCTTCCCGCACCACGGCCCCGACTGCGGCTTCCTCACCGGCGTCGACAGCCTGAAGCGTCTGCTCACCGAGATCCTGCTGCCCTACAGTTAGAGCCGGCGCCCGCCCGCGCGACGCCAACACGAGCCGGGGCCGCGCCGGCGGACCACTGCCACCTCGGAAGTGTAAATTCTTCTTTGGATGACGTCACGCTCGCCTCCTCGCCTCGTCGCTGGACTTCGCGAGGACAGAGTTTGAAGTGATTGCATCCGGTGCGGGGTCGTGTGCCTTTGTATGCAGCCATTCTACAACACACGTAGATGTTCGCCGGACGAGGCCGCGGGCCCGGCGACTTCGGCACGTTTCAAACTCTCAAAGTATTTACGGTTTGCCTTACACGGCGAACGTTATTGACTCGGAATTAAAAAAAAAACTATTTTCTTCAAAAAAACTTTTGGAACCGTTCGACTGATATATGAAATAAAAATAGTGAAATTATAAAATGACTATGTGTTTACATAAAAAGGACTCTCCAGGGTAATTTCGCTGTGCACCACTCATCCGTACCTCGTGCTTTCTAGAGATAATTGTGTTTATTCTTTTTATGTAATTACATGGTAGTTATCGCACATAGTGAATGTTGGCGGTAAATTGTAAATTGTTAATTTTATATTAACATTATTATAATTTAATGTGGGACCCAGTAGGTATTTTTAACACGTTGTATTTTTAAGTATTATTTTAAGTTATTCCAGATTCAGGCGTTATTTATATTTGACTTGGGTTCAACCTGTCTAGTTCTCCCTTAAGGGAGGTATTATACATTTGTAAATTGTAACAAAATAAGTAGACATTCCTTGATGCTGTTATAGATACTGTAGCGAAGTAATGTAGTTGTCTCCTTTACCACCCGCACCTGTCTACTCCACCTTTCCTACCACCTTTTGCATTTAACTCGTTTTTAATGTAACCATAATCACTGTTTGTTTATATGTTTGTGTAAAATTATAACCTCCTTCATTATTTCTCAGCTCAGTCAATGAAGCCAAAGTAATATTAGAATATAGATTGGATTTTCTACGTGAACTTGTTTTTAATAATATAGATTATTGTTTGAGTGTCTAACTCTCTAGATCATTGTTTGTGAACAAATGTAAATAGCTCTATGTGTGTCTGTAATAAAATGTTTATAGTATTGTTTATTTGGTTTTGTAAAATCGGAAATGTGCAGTTAGTGTTTCCAAAAGATACAAGATGGCGCTCACCGATGTATATTAAAAATATTTACGAAGATTTGTTAGTTTGTGTACTGGAACGATTGATTGATTCAAATGTAACAAATAATCTGTAAAAAAAGAAAATTTAGTCGACATTAAAAATCTAATATCTAATTAAATGGGGTTCGACCACTTTAATAAGGTAGTTTTTATTACGCTAACAGTATTATAAACATAGTTCTCAAAGGAGCATAATAAGTTTCTAGGAAATGTAAATTGGGTGCTTTTTATGTACAAGCATGTGTGAGATGTATGGTGATTGCATTGAGCTCATACAAACAAAATATTTGTATGATTCTGTGCGATGTTCGCAGAATGTATTCAGCCGCAATCACCGTCGTTAGCCAACATTCCTTTGTGCTGCATTCATGTCTGTTATTTTATTTTACTATAAGTTTTTAAAGATGGGATTTAAATTATGAAAAGTACCTGGTTTTAATTAGGATGCTAGGTTGTACTGCAATTTATTTGATTATGTTTGTTAATTTGAATAACTGTATGACATTATTTTGTTAAATAAATTCTAGGTATTGATTTTATTGTTTTATTTCCTTGATAACACAGTTGTGGCGCATCTAGTTGAATCGCGGCAAAATTTAAAAAGGTTCTATACAGAAACCAGGCTAACATTAACAGCCTGTATCAGTTCATTGAAGGGCTTAGTTCCCAAGTGCCTTTAGCAGTATGGACTCCACGTGACATTCCTCCTGTCCCCAAAAGATCAGTTAAAAGAGTATGTAATTTCATTATTTTCAGTAATTTATAGCAAAAAACGAAATAGCAAATACTGATTTCTCTAATATTATTGACAACTGAAGGTGTTTAAACAAATGATGATATTTTCTAAGTATGGTATCCATTTACATTAATTTTATATTTTATTTTCACGTCGTAAATCTTTATACATATGACAAATAACTAAATAGAATAAATAAATAAATAATTTAATATTATAACAAAAAAAAACCTGGCAGTATAAATAAAGATATCATGACTTTATTACTCAGATGATAAAAAAAAATGTTCGTCGAACTTATTTGTTAAGGGGTTAGTGGTTTACAGGTTTTGGTTCTTTTAAATTGTTTTCAATAAATTTAATAAAATGGCGATGTCGAATGAAGTCCAACTATTAAAGAATATATCTACAGAAGTAGATGAATCGAAGCTGAGAATATTTTTCTCCATTCAATGCAGTAAAGGTAAATACTTTTAATATCGCCTGCGATTACTGAAATTATTAATTTTGCATTAACCAACAGAATATAATATTAAGAGAAATTGAGTTGCTAGATATAAATAATTCTTATGCACGTAAAATAAACAAAATTTGTAAGATAAACATTATTAACTTAACAAGGGTATTTAAAAACATGAGTTCGTCGCAGTAAATGCAGTTTTTAAAAATGGCGCGGTAAAACTGAGTATATATTTTGTAACCTATTACTGCAAAAACAAAAGCATAATTTATCGAGGTTTCTGTTCATTAACTCTAAAAACAGATGAAAAGTTGAAATATAGAATGAAATAAAGTAATTTGGATGACAAAAATTAAACTCCGAATACATTCCAATTATAATTTAATTAAGTTAAACAATAGTCATCCATGTCATAAAGTTTTAATATTTTTTTTAAATAATCCTATTGTATATGTTATCAATACATTTTTTTTAAATTTCTGACGAAATGGCTGGACCGATTTGACGGGACTTCGCTTCGCTGACGAAGTCACAGGCAACCGCTACGCCTACTATTATGTGGAATATATTATTATTTCAGCCCAAGCATCCTTATTGGATAGATTGAAAAAGAAAATAAAAGAGAGGAAAGATATACTTAACTTTATCACTGACGGGAATAAAAAGCTAGAAGTTGAAATAAAGTTAGCTGAACAAGAATTAAACAAGTTAGTAGAAAATATTTTTTTTCTTATTTGTTTTCCAACACTTTCTAATTTAATTATATGTAATTTCAGTTTAATTATTGCCCATAATACTATAAAATCTGGTAATATAGATATAAGAAAGGAATTGTTGCTTAAACTTGATGAAAATGTCGAATTTTCCAAAAGAATAGAAGCCGGAGAAAAAAAACATGAACAACTTTGGTTGTCGAGTAAAAGTAGATTTGAAAACATTCCTTTGGTCCAACAATGTCTAGAAGGGAAGAAAAGGATTCAGATAATCGAAAATAATATAAGCAATCTACGCAGCAAATGTGTTGGGCTCTCGGATGATATAAAAAAGAAGAAGCGTGCTGCACAAGAACTAACCCAAAAATATGTAATTGACCTTGCCAAATTCTTCGTAAACGATAGACCGAAAATAATAAAAATGATACAAGATAGGACTAACGAAATTCAAGACTTGATTATAAAAACAGAAAACTTACAACAACCTATGATGGACAGACGATATTCTAAAGTAAAAATAATAGAACTGGACGAAAACTCACATCCAGAGAAAGCAATGCAGAAAAACAAGGAATTTGTTCATACAGAAAATGATGCGATTGTAGTATGTTCAGTCTTTTATGGTTTTTTTAAAATTCCAATTCATAACTGAAATAAATAAAATATGTTTAAACTTTGATTATTTTCTAGATGCCGAAACTACAACTAATGGACGTTGATCTAGATATATTAGGTGATAAATTAGATCAGGTACATTTGGATGTTAAACAGAATAAATAAATCACGCTAAAATAAAAATTAATCTAACTGTTAATGTTTTAGTTGAAAAAAATTGAACTCAACGTGACACCTACTATGGAAAATAAAATAAAGTCTCTTGGATATAAAATAGACGTAGCACAGTCTTCAACATACAATAATAAATGGGAATCATATTATGAACAAACTCGTAAAAGTTATTCTGATAGAAAGTTAATTCATATAATAGACGATATCACTCTTAATAAAAGTCAAATGATCAACATTATATCGAAAGTGGATTCCAATACCCTACAAAATGTTAACACCGTTGGATCACAGAAAACGGCAGAACTGTTAAAGATTTGTCCTCTACCTGAAGTAAAGGTGAAAAGAAACACGAGTGGAATAATTTAGATCTAAACATGTTAGACTGAGTACAGTCAAGTGCATAAATATGTGTACATTTACAATGCTTTCGGTTTCCAATATTTATATACATCTCTATATTTTCGATCTTCAATACATGTTACTAAAGAATACGTACACAGTTATTTTTATGTCTCTAAAGTACTGTAAATGCTTAAAATAATTATGCAGCTGACTGTACATAAAAAAAAATTAGTATGTTTTTAATCAAACAATTTAAAATTAATGAAAAATTATAGATAAAACAACCTTTAAAGGAGATAGAAGAAAATGTTGACGACAATGAAGAGCAACATGTACAGTCGCCCGCACAAATAATTGATAGGAAGAAGGTAATTTTAAATTACATTAGCCTATTTCCACTACGGCTAGCCGCAAGTGGAAATTGGATCTTAATTTGATTTTATAGTTGACAAAATATCTTACACAATTTTTTTTATATGTAAAGAAAAAAGTCTCATTTGATTTATCAGTGGAAAATGTTCAATCAGAATTAACTGAGATTGATGTTAATGTAAATGCTGAAGATGGAATAAACAATGAAACTTTAAACAGTCAGGATGTCAGTTTGGAAAATGTTGAAGGCAATGAAAAATTAAAAGACAAAATTCTCATGGCGCATAATCTCGATGCGACTCCAGAATTCGTTTATTCTAAACATTTTATTTCAAACAAGGTAGATGACATACTTGTATTCAGATATTTACTTGAAAAATTAAAACATTAGTACTAATTAATAAAAACCTTCTAGATGACTGAAGACAAAATTATAGCTTCCAAATTCTTTGATGGTAACAAAGTTTCTGAGCCAAGTGTCATGTCCAATCACATCGAGGAACAAGATAACAAAAAACAGGATGTACAAGAGACCAATTTTACCAAACCACTTAACATGGACATGTTAAAAAATAATACATTTGAAACAAATTCAAAGGTAATTTATGTACAGTAAGATATAAATATGCACAGTCAAACCTGGATAACTGAGAGTCCAAGAGACCGAGATATTTTTCTCGCTTTTAGAGATTGCTCTCTAACCCGAATATCTCACTAATGGAGATAAGGAGAGTCCGGGTGCGGTAGTATTATAATATTTGTGTTATTTAAATTTATAGACCAACCAAGATATCCAAAAGTCTAAATATCAAATAAGTGGACTTTTGTTTGACCATGGAGGATCACAAATGATGTCTGACTTATTAAATGTATCTCTAAATGCTACTGGATTCGATGGTGATGATAGTTATCCTCAATGCTTAGGTATTTTTGTTTTATATATTTCTTGATACACTCAGTATTTTAATACTCACATAATCAATCACTTAATAAAGATTATTCACAAAGAAAAAACTTCTTATAACCAACTTTATTTTCAAAACAATTTCTTGAAATAACTGTTTTTTTCATTCATAATATTTATCTCTTTGGGTTATTTTAAGTGATCATAATTTGTGTGGCACTTATAGTAAGAACAAATTATGTCTTTATTTCACTTTAGATTCTAGCGTTTTACTATCGCCTAAAGCTGATGTGGCCATGGATGGAGCAGATAATATTACAGTCATGCCACAACTTCCTAACTTTATGTCAGGTATAAACATATTGGCAAATAAAGCTTTTTTGTAGTAATGTTCATATTATGGTTTTGTTTTTTGTAATATTTTAGGTCTCCGTAAAACTGGATCTTCATTTTTTGAACGCTTAACAAATGATAACAAACCCAACTCTAGTACTACAAATACGGAAGGTAATTTTAATTTTAACTTCAGTGGTGAAGAAAAGAAAAAAGGGGGAGGATTCTTCAATATGTTCTTTAAATAGTGAATATTATTAACATTATTACTGTTATCAACAAGTTAATTAATTTAATTCTTTGTTAAATTACAATTTTAGTCATCAAAATATCTAATAAATAAAAATTTGTTACTGATTTTCAATTCACTTTATTTTATAGAATAATAGAAATATTGATAACATTACAATTATATTATTGGTGTAACTGACAAGCTCTCACCGCTATTAACTGCAGAAGTATAAACAAAGGTGCAAATACTTCACTGTATTCTATTGCTGAATCACCTTGTAGTTTTCTACATAGTAAAAATTTAAATACAAAAGTTAGACCTAAGAAAATACCACTCCATGATGCTCTGTACAGTGAAGCCCTATATGAACTTTCATAGTTCATGCGTATGCAGACAATGCAACAAAAATATGCATTCATAGCATCACTCACAAACAGAGGGGCAAAGATTGTCCACCAAGCACTATTCACAACACCATCAATCTTCATTGCCAATAGCGCAGAGAATATAGTCAATGTGATAAGGTTTATCCATATTTCAAACACTGTTAATCCTATCCACTGTACAATCTCTTTGAGAGTGAAAAACATTGTTACTGATTTGAACCGAGCATTGCAGTTCTAAATATTCTAATGTGGATAGAAGATGAATGTCGCACTTGAGATCCAAAATCCAAATCATCCACTAGTGGTTCCAGATCATCTGTATTAAAGGAATTTATTAGACACATTAACAAAATAAAATTCAAAATAAGTAGATGTCAAAAAATAATTCTCACCAACAAGATCTACGGTTCCTGTGTTAACTTCGATTTGACAAGTTCCAGAAAAAAGAATTTCCAACTGCAATGCTAGGTTACAACATCTTTGTATTGCAGCGCCTAGGCCATGTAGAATGATCTCTTTTTCTCCTCTGGTCAAAAGGTCACAACATTTATCTAACTGAGCCTGAAAATATGCATGTTAGGGTTTAATGTTTTAGTGAGAATGCCGAACAACCACATATGATGAGGCAAACGTACCTTAAAGTTAGTTTTTTTAGTGACGAATATTACATTATTCCCGTCTATCGGTCGAACAGGGAGACGTTTTTTAAAAGCATAGTTTTTATGTGTCATTAAACGTTTGGTATTTTTACTTTCTTGTTTCTTTCCCGTAATGTTTTCATCTGCCATACTGTTAAACAAAAGTCAAAATAATGTCAAAGTAAGTGTCAAAAATGATAGATTTCAGTTATTTTTAATGTAGATATTCAGTCATACAGCCAGAACACATTTTTATAAATTTATTATGTTTTTCAGAAACCGTTTAGGTAAAGTGAATTATAATGGAAAACTAGGGCCCGCGGACAAAATCCCCTTGGATTATATAGCACTCTATAGCGCTATTATTTATTTTAGAAAATATAGCTAGATTGAAAAATGACACTGTAAAAAGTCACTTGTCAATATGATGCTACTGCATTTTTTGGCCTTAAAGGCCATCTTTTGAATCATTATAAATTAAAATGTAGGTAAAATATAACAATGCCTTGACGTTTTCCAAATTTTTCGTATTGTAGTTTTCATTTTTAGATATTCAAAATGGGGTGTATATTCTGTACACTAGGATCGGCATTTTCGGTTATTTTAGATGCATTGGAAAGGTAATAAAAGCATTGTTTTATAGTATTTGAGTCACTTTACCATTTTTTAGTATGCTTTACAATAAATAAGAGAAAAATACCTCACCAGAAAAAGTATATGTTGTATATTTTTAGAAATAGGTAGTAGACTTTGAGTTATCAAACTAACTTGCGTTTTTTTCAGGATATCTATGTGGACAGTATGTGCGATATTAACTTGTTGCTTAGCACTTACTCTTATAATTGTATTATTGATTGGAATTGGTATCGGCTATCACTATTGTTACATTCATTATGTGGGATCTGGATCAAGTAAGTGTATTTCTACAATTTGCTAGTTATATTCACCATACCACCAATTTGCTTAAAATTGCATGAATGAAGACTTCTTTGTTCATTAAGCGAAACCGCGCGCTTTTTTTGCGAGTTATAACTCTACCTTCAGGCATATTAACTAGCTGTCGCCCGCGACTCCATCCGCGCGATATTATAAAAACTTACTATGTAGCGTATGTGTTCTTCCAGACTATGTTCTACAACTATGCCAAATTTCAGCGAGGTCCGTTGAGCCGTTTTAGAGTTTCCTTCATTCAAACATCCATCCATCCATCCAAAATCCAATTTTTTTAATGTAATATTTCGTATTTAAGAATTAATCAAAGTAGTTTAATAATTTACATAATTTCGCTTTAAGAATGGAATAAGACGAGCCAAGCACATTATTTCTATCACGCGTTCAATAAATTTATAAGAGAAAATATTCATCGTATCACGAAACGCGAATTGAAAGCAAATGGAAGCGAAAATATTGGGTTTGACAACAAAACATATTTATTGAAACGGACTCCTGTGTTTAATGTTTCAAAATCTTATATTGTAATGTAATTTAACATAATGTATAAGGGAAAATCATAAACATAGTTTATTAGTACATCATTCTTTTATTATGTTGAAAGCAACTTAATTAGATTAGTAATAAAATTTTAAGAAATAGATTTTAACACCCCTTTTTGTACATCTTATATCAAACTAAATAACCTTCAAAAACGATAGAATTGCAAAATTAAAAGTTTTATATGAAGATAAAGCTATGTACAATTTAAAATATTTATAATATCATTGTTACATTTTAAACTTCGTTTAAATGATTTCCTTTCTAGTTATTACGCTGCTGAAGTTGTAGAGTCGTCGTGTATTAACGTAGGCGGTGAATAACTTGTGTAGTTATTTCTCTTTATTCGTCGAAATCTGCCAATTAATTTCAATGCTAATTCCTTCTCATGAGGCGTTAATTCCACCTCTTTTATTGGCCTGTAAAATATAATGTGCTAGTAACCATTGGTTTCTGAGACCAATACTCTGTATAAAATATATCGGTTTCTCTGTCATTATCTTTGATAGAACAGAGATAAGAATACGTTTTAATTGTAGATTTTGGTCTTAGAAACTCATGGTTACAACTACTGTTGGTGTTGAAGGTAATACGTCGAAACTTTAAAAGAAATTGGCACACAGGTAAGTTCACCTTTCACTTTCTAGAACAACTAGTGGTGTAGGTGTCGATTCTAGGTACAACGGCTGCGCTGACACTGTCCTACCCTCAAAAGAACCTGAAAATCAGAGAAAATAATATAAAAAATAAAGCTACAGTAGATTATGATGTAAGTTATATCTGTATCGTTTAGTTACCCGGCACGTCGCCAGATGTCTCATGCTGCGTGCGGTTGACGGCGACAAGACGCACCAGGGGCTCGACTACCTCCTGCTGCTGCGTGTCCCCCTCACGCAACAACTCACTTCCTGACCGACCTCCACTTGCTTCTTCACCGGCTGCACAATAACATGTTGAATATCTCACAGAAAATAACACGTAGTAAAACAACGCAAGTTGGAATTAATGCATTAAGTTATAATTCATGACCTATATGTGAAGAAAGCTGTGATCAGTTTCAAAGTTCGTCAAAGTTTAAGTCTGAAAGAAATTTCAAGATAAACAAAAGACGCAGTTTATAATTACCTAGCTGTTGCCCGCAAATCCGCCCGCGCGGAATTAAAAAAAAAACCTAATAAATAGCCTATGTCTTCTTCGGAACTGAAATTTGGCATAGATGTATCTATGCCAAATTTCAGCAAGATCCATGCAGCCGTTCTGGTGATACCTCCAAACAAACATCCATCCATCCATTCAAACATTCGCATTTATAATATTAGTATAATTGAAAAATAGTGGAACAATTCGAAAAGGATAGAGTATAGGCAACCCTTTTTTATGTTACAATGGTAGAGCTTGCAATTATTAAAACATTATACTCATAAACTACTCAAAAAATGATAAATACATGCGAAACGTGCTATTTCCTTTTGTGCGTAGTGATACCCCAGCGTGATGCCGTACAGCGTCAATACAACAATCATGACCAATATCACCACCAGCACCATGGCACAGCACATCCATGACACCACTCTACAAACAAACCACAACGGCATTACTGCGCGACAATGATAACATGACATTTTGCCCACACATCCACTCAAGTTCAACAAATATTTATTTAGTCTTATTGATAAAATTGAAAAGATGTTCTTAATTCATTTGATTGAGACGGAATGGAATAGTTCTCTTCAATTGCAGATTTCCGCACGATTTACTCTTCTAGGCTTGCATTGATACATTTTTTTTGTAAGTGTAAAGAAAATACGACACCTTTCGAAGCAAAGCACGATAGCGCACATAAGAGATTGTACCAAACCCATCACTTATTATTGTTGAATCTAGAAAGATAATAAGTTTTTAATAAATTTTAGCTTATACACAATTTACTTATACACAATATTATCAAGCTGTCACGTACTAAATATATAGAGTATATTATAAATATAATCTAACCTAAAGATATAGGAACTTGGTTTTATGTTGGCGACCTAAGTCAGGAGCAAATTGAAATTCTTTAGAGCACTTAACCTCTCAACACTTTCTTTTTATAATTGATTCGTATATTTCCATAATATATCAAAGGTTAATAACAAACAATTTCTACATTTTATTACAGTTTGGCTATGTAAATCTATTTACTAATATTTCTCCTCAATAAAGGTATGGCTTGAATAACTAATAACCTACAAAAGTTATTTAATTGAAAAATAAATCATACATTGTCAAAAATGTCATACACCTTCAAGCAGTAACTTTTTTTTTATTTTTGAAATGAAGAGACAATAACGATATAGCGATTTGATCCAGATCTACATATATGAAATGGATCCCATAGTTTTACTAACACTGAAATAAAAAATATGTTGGTTGATATTTCCAATTATTTATAATTTTTTGCGTTTGCTATTTTGACGCCCGTTGTAATGAATTAAGGAACCAATCCACTCGTTCAACCTTAGGATTGTCAACGCCATTGAATGTGGTATCCCTCTTAGTTGTTTTTATTCATTTTAATAATTCCTAAGAGCGTCGGTGGCTCAGGGATCAAGCACTTGATTTGCAATCGGCAGGTCCTGGGTTTGAATCCCGCCGTGTACCAATGTGTTTTTCGATTTCCGATTTACATATATACATTTATCCGACGTTCTTACGGTGAAGGAAAACATCGTGATGCAACCTGGACATATCTGAGAAGAAATTCAAAGATATGTGTGAAGTCAACCAACCCGCACTGGGCCAGCGTGGTTGACTATGGCCTAATCACCCTTAACTTAGGGTAGGCTCCGAGTCCCTCGGTGGGTATGTATAGTAAGCTGATGATGAATAATTTCTAAATTTTATATCCATGGTAGAGATTTTAAAAAGGATCCAGTAGTTTTTGTATTATAGTTTTTGAGTTAAACCGGAACAATAAAAGAAAAAAGTTTTCTCTGTACTTATTATATTAATATAATAGATAAATAATTCCAAAAGTGTAAAATAAAATGATTTGATACATGTATTTTGAATCTGGAGGTAAATGTCGACCTATGAGCAGTTACGTAGGCGATATCGGTTTTACATCTGTTTTTTTAAAAGGTCTCCAAAACATTTTGCTCAACATATCATTCTTCGCCCTCCGGACACGACCGTTGTATTTTCTGGGGAAGTCTTCGAGATCCGGCAAAGATCCCAAAGTAGTCCTAGGAAAATAATAGTTGATTTACAATATAAGAAATTCAAATGCAAGTGGAACAAATTAAAATGTTACATACATGTCCACGTATTGTATAAATATAGGTGTATCATTATCATCCCGACTACCAGTTCTGGCTCTAGGCCGTGTTTCATACATCTCCAAACCTGAAATTGGGAAATACCGTTTAACAACCTTCCTCCGTTGATTAAAGGTATTCAACGCTTCTCAATTGTAGATGTCCATGACCAGCGGTCGTTTGACACCTTATAATAAAATAAAAAAAAATTGGTTATCAACCATTTAAAAAGCTATACAGATTAATTATAGGAATATATTCTTCTGTTTAGTATTGTTTCAGAATAAACCTGATGCCAGTCGTATTGAGACGTGTTAGGTATTCAAAAATAATACGGAAAGTGATAGAAACCGAGTACAGATTCTGTAGTGGTCTCTGGTGGTATTGTGGTAGTGGTGGTTGTATCTGGGCTGAATGGTTCAGTGCGACGCTCCACCTCGGTTCCCGCTCGCAACAGCGGTCCACTAAACTTTGTAGTACTCTGTACGTTTCTTGCTCTAGCTAAAATGATAACATTTAATTGACGCAGAGGAGAAAATAAAACAAGAAACTTCCGATTAGTGGCAGCCCTAGAAAAAGGAGCAGCAGCGTTTAGCCGCCGGTCGCAAGGGCTGTCAAAACGGAACTCCTAATTTTATATCTCTCTAAAAAATAATTGAGTTATATATAACTTTGAAACAGAATAAACGACAACAACATCAATAATTTATTTTAAATTAAGTTATTAACGTATTTACACGGTATTTGTTAGTTAATAAGTTATTTGAATCATAGGGATAGGGATTCTTACCGGCAAAATAAGCCAATTGTTCTTGCCCCGTGTGGTAGCCGATAGTCATACCGTAAATGACAGATATTTGCATAAAAGACATAATTCCCCCCAGCGTGACACAGCACAGAAACCAGTTTGCAAGTCTGTATTAATAAAACAATCAGAAAAGTAAATGATTTAACAGGATTTATGTGAGATTCAATCCTATTTTATTAATTTTCAGACAAAGGCGCAGTGGGTAGGACGTGCTTTCTAGGCAACACGTTCAATGCTATAATTTATTCATATAAAGTAAACTAGCCAAGCAAGTCGACTGGTACTGAAATACTTCTTAAAGGATATATTAGGATCAATATTTCATGTTTTAAACAAAGAACATAAAAATAAATTATTACGAGGATGATTAATTGTAATATTTGTAAAATGTTAGTTACCGACTCGTGCATAAATCTATACCGGAGAACGCAGAACATACGATACCCATGTTTTCTTATTGATACAGCTGTAAATACATAAGTTCATTCACAATTCTTGTAATTAGAATAAGAATAAGAATAAGAATAAATTTATTTCACAAAAAACACGTTAGAATAATATACAGTGAAGTATCTTGCAGACCCCGAACTAGGCTGAGCCTGTATCTCGGGGCCTAGGAGTGCACTAACCATAAACAAAATGACAGTACGTACATATCATGTAAAACTAAGCGTGATATTATGAGATACAATTTGGAAAATAAGAAAATACATGAAGACATTAAACTAAGTAATTTTGAACTACTAATAATATCAAAGGATAGCATGTGTGTGTATGATTATGCGTGTGAGTATGTGAGAAAGTGTGTGTGTGTGTGTGTGTGTGTTTTAAGTTAGGTGCGCAGGTGAAATTGTTATTGGCTGGCGCAAAGAAGGGCTTCCGTGTCAAGGTAGGATAAGGACACAAGCCACTTTTTCACAAGGACCTTAACCTTTCCCGATGTGTATTGGTGAATATTATGAATTTTACAAATATTATTATATATGCGTAGATGTATATAAGCAGGGCAGATTCTATGAATCTGTTATCACACGGGCAGTTAAGCAATAAGACCGGATACTTGCCTGTCGCTGTTATCGACTTTCGAAGTTTTTGGGTAAGATTTGTAATTCAAGAGCAAGAAAACACAATTGCCTACGCCGTCATCAATTTCTACTTGCTTCTTTTATTACGTAAAAACTTTATGATTGATGAATTGGTAATTTATTTAAATGTCGTTGAGAAATACACATTTTAAACAAAAAAATCATCAACTCTTTGCGCTTCGTTAATAATTCAATTATAAAGGGTTAATTATTTTAGTGGTTGATATACAAATGTGACATTAAAAGTCAATAACTGTAAATGTCAATAAATTGTTGATTTTTCCTAAAAGTTATAAGTAAAAAATCTTTTAGATGCATGACAGCGCCATCTATTGGGTCACATAATAAACTATTTCGTGACCCACATAAATTAAGCCACGAAATATTTCAACATGGTGGTAGATTATGCCCACGATTTTTGTGTACCTCAGAAACCTTTCTTTTTCACTCAGATTTTCTTACTTTTTCTTGTCTTAATGTTGGTAAGTAACTAAAAAAAGACAAACGGACGACTTTTCTCATTAAGTAGTAGGTAAATTAAAAATAAATATTTAAAAAGAATAATTTTAATAAACAACTTGTATAATAAAAACACAATTTACAACAGTCTCAAATATCCAAGCTCTCACAACCGCTATAAAATCAACAACCAATTTCATTTTTAACACAATCAAAAAGTTTTTATTAATTGCGATTTGTAGGCATAAATAATTCAGCGTAAATGTTAAAATTGTGATTAAAAAAGTATTAAGATTAAATATCTATACAACATATTTAATAATTATTTTTTTAATACGGTATTTTTAAAGATGATAACGGACACGCCATATAAAATGTAAATTACTTTTGACTATGTAAAAAAAAATATTGCCCTTTTAAATGTCAGCCAAAGCTAATTAATAAACTGTCGATGTTTGTAATCTGACGGTGACGTCACAATTTCAGTATAAATATATATAGCTCATATGTGAGTGTCAGCATTTTTAATAATTTAATTATTTATATAAATATACTAAAATAATTTTATTGCTCTTTACATTCCTATAACTAAGGTAACACGTCATCTTACACTCCTCTGTGTTATGGGTTTGATTTGAAGCATTTGAGTTGACAGATAATGCCATCCCTTACATTCTCTTTGAAAAAAACAGAGACAACATATGTCTAAAAGTGTCGCGGCTGAATTCAACGATCAACATATATATAAAGGTAGACAAGTAGAATATAAACATAGTAGAAAAAAGCTGAAAAAAATTAGTATAATAATAATATAAGTATAAAATGAAGTGACATGAAAAATTACCTTTAAATATCTTTAAAACTAAGCATGAAAATGTGAGATCTGGATGGATAGGTTTTTAGACAGTTTTTTTTTGTAATGCACTAAGAATGTCATTAAATACTTAACAAACAAAATTAATTTTTAAATTAAATAATTCAAAATTGCAGGAACATTGGTCTCAGCAACCAAGAAGTCAAGTTTCATGCACAACAATAATTGAATTTTACAATAAAAATAGCTTGAGTCTAATACAGTTTTTATAATCTACTAATTAAATGTCTAATTTTAGAATATTTGTTATCTTAATAATAAAATTGTATAAAATAGTCTTGAACAATATAATTTAAAAAATCAATAAAAACAAATAAATATGGACAAAATGGTTTGAGCAAATCTAAAACTTTTAACTTTTAAAACAAAAAAATGTGCGATCAACCAAGTGGTTTTATGGGCGATGTGAATTGCGTGCTATGCGTCAAGTTGGGAAAGCGTGGGATACACGCATAGTGGGCAACTCAGGTGGGCGACGTATATTGCTGGGCATACATCACGCTAAGCGTGGGCTTCGTGAAGATAGTGGGCCTCGTAGGTTATGTGAGAGATGTGTACTGCTTGCTGTGTTACACAATGTGGGCGTGTGGGCGTAAGCTACGCATGTGTGGGCGTGGGCGAGTTATGTGGGTGATGTATACTGGTGTGCGTGCATCAGATCCCACAGCGGCAGTTCTGTGAGCGCGGTGTGCAGCTCGTGTGTGAGCTGCGCGGTGATGGCGGGCGCCGCGTGGGCGACGCTGGCACCTCGCGCCCACGTCCGCACCAGACCAGCTGCACCGCTCAGAGGACCTAGACCAGTTACGTGCATATCCATTGACCTGTAAATGTAACAGACATAAATATAAGTTATTTATTACTCTTAGTTTTCTTTACATGAAGTGTTTCTACTAATTTTTCCGATACTTTTTGCTTATTTAGTCTAAACGATGAGCACGATCATCATCATGCCACAGGCATTATTTTAATCCTCTATCTCTTCCCATCGTTTTCTTATTAGAGAAGTGGGAAGTGGAATGGACGGAAGAGGACATGCATAGGAAGGGGATATCCTTTTTTTGTGCGTCCCTTCCTCCGTCGATTAAAAGTGGGCAAAGCATACCGAATTGCGGGTGTTTTGCCCATTTTTTCACATTTACATTAGCTTCGTTATCTCGGCGAATTTAAATGGCCGCTTGCTCGATTGTCACCTTAAAATATATGAAAAAGTTGTAGAATTTTAATAGCAGTGGTAAGGTAATATGGTGGGTGTACTGACTGCAGATGGTCTAGACGCAGACAGTCAAGCTGTGCGTACGGCTCGTTGTGCGCGCGTCCGGCGGAGAGCCGCAGATGCAGCGCGCAGTTAGCGATGGCGGCCGCAACACGCCCCGAACACGACACGCCCATCGCACGCATGCGGTATCCCTCGTATCCTATCTGTTACATTGTATGTAAACATTACATTTAAGACTGATTTAACACGTTTGGTGATGACTTTATTTTCAAATATTGATGTTGAAAATTCATTTGTATATGATAAATTCGCTTCTATATGTTTTTAAGATTTAAGAAATAGGTTCAGGTTTTCCTTTTCTTAGTTCTTAATGGAAAATCTTTATTCGTTCTTAAAAATATTTTTCATATGGGTTTCTCAGTTTAAAATTTCCGTTTGAATGTTATTTCTGTGTTATCATAGAAATTGATTCGGATCACGTTATGTTTTAAAAAGAGATTTTGATCTTAGAAACCTACAGTTAGAGTTAATCCCTTTGTATTTTTGTTTGTCATAATTTATGATAAAAAAGCTAAGCTCATTGAGATTAATTAAAGTTAAAGGATTGTTTGAAAGTGACCTGCAGGTCTTTTATCTTGAGCGTGACGCTGAAGCTGGTCCTGTTATCGGTGTGGTGAGAGACGCTGACGTCGCTGACCCTGTTGATGGTGGCGAGGTTCTTCACCCAGCCCGCCTCCGTCTCGAACTTGCCAACGAACGATATTGATCCTATCTACACATAAATCTATTTAAATTCAGATAATGCCATCATTCACTTATCCGAGTTTATTAACTTCCTAGCTTTAGCACGCGATTCCGTCCGCCCTTAATTAAAAAACCTAATTAGTAGCTTATGTATGCTTCCCGTCTATGTTCTACATCTATACCGAATTTCAGAGAGATACGTTTTATCATTCTTGAGATTACTAGTGCTAGAAATATTACTAGATTTTGCCCACGACTTTGTCTGCGCGGAATTAAAAAAAACTTATGTGTAGTAGACTCTGCCCTACATCTGTGTAAAATTTCGTTAGGACGTTTTGGAGATAAATTGTTTTAGACCTTATTAGTTAAAATCCTTTGGCACGAATTTGACGTTACAAAGTCATTGTCAGAATGATTAGTGAGTGATTTTCTTCCTAACAGTTGTAACATCCATCCATACTTTCGCATTTAAATATTAGTAAAATTTAATTAAGATATCATATAAATAAAATTATTAACAGTAAGATAAGTTTTTTTAAATGTAAATATGATTACCTTGTGCATAAAGGTGGCATGTAGGGGTGGCAACTCGAGTACCTCTCGGCGTGTCTGCAGCAGAGTGCGCCGCATGTTGATCAGCACCATGTCCACCACTCGGTTCCCTTCGTGTGACAAATCTGCTGCCATTGACCTAAAATTTTACATTATATATGTCCCCATTCGTTTCTTTATTTTATTTCTATATACTATACTCAAAATGTTTTTTTTTAATTCCGGAAGAAGTCACAGGCGACAGTTAGTCAATTTTTTTAAATAGCAGATTTTTTCGTAAATTTACTAATATTTATTTTACCATTCCAACTAAGCTCTATGCTTGTGCTCGGATATGGTTTACGATAATAGTCGAATGGCGGGATTCGAACACCCGACCTCGTGATCGGAAATCCGTACCGTTAACCATTAGGCTATTGACGCTTTAAAAGTCAATGTATAAATGTTTTCAGATATCTTGTTAGCTTTTAACTTCGCACAATTCGCTGTGCGGAACATAATCATATGTGTAATGGGGCGTTGCGAGATGCGGGAAAGAGTACAGCGCAACGCGCCAATGACCTTGAGCCAAGAAGATATTTGAAAAGAGTTATATATGTGTAATTTTAATGTAATTTGTTAAGTAGTTGTTAGCAGCTAAAAAGTTATAGTTTTTTTATATTTGGCTATTTACCTGTAGACTTCCAGCAGGCTGGGGTTGGAGTAGAGCAGGTCGGAGACGCTGGTGGCTTGACGCAGCACCAGCGTGAGGTGACGCTGAAGGCGATGTCGCAGCAACGCGTACAGAGGTAGTGACAACGCAGCAGTCAGCGGGAGATCGTCTACAAACGACAATAGTTCAAATTTTATAATAAACTAGCTATCGCTCACGATTCCGTCCGCGCGGTATTTAATTAAAACATAATGGATAATGTGTTTTTCCAGACTATGTTCTATGTCAAATTTCATCGAGATCCATTTAGCCCTTTTGGACATACCTTCAAACTTCCACCCATACATCTATCTAAACATTCGCATTTATAATATTTAAAATTGAATACACAAGACCTTAATTATAATGTGAAAATTTAAAGTCCCTTAATACAACTAAAATAATATTATATGTATGTATTCTTTGCCTAGCCTATGAAATATATAAAACTCTTACCTATGTGCTTAGCTAATTGTTCTGTTGTTGTAAATTCATATCCACCATTTCTCTGAGGTGACGGCCATGACAGCTAAAACAATATCTTGTTATCATAATATATTAAGAAGTCCGCAACTTTCACAGTATAAGAAATTAATAAGTTTAAACGATTACACGATAAAAATAAATATACCTTGACTATAACTTCATCATGTACAAAATCAATTCCCGGATTGATAAACGTAAACACATCATCTTCCATAACTAGACCCACATTCACATCCGCTGTCATATTTGATAATGATATTCTGAAATTAACTTAACATTTAAAAATACAACAAATATAATTGTTTAAAAGTCAATGCCTGTGACAGCGTTCATATGGAATAAGAAAAAGGTAATTAGTAGCCTATGTGTTCTTCTAGATTATGTTCTACATCTATGCCAAATTTCATCGAGACATGTTAACCCATTCTGGAGATACTTTCTAAGTTACATCCATATGGATGGACATATACATTTAAAATATTAGTAAGATTGACATACACTTATTTGGGTATTTCCTGTTGGGCTGATCAGTCCACTGACCTCTCAACTCAATAGGATTTTTTTCCTAATGGGCCGAACCAAACCATCAGCTCAACAGGAAACACCCATTTATGTGCTTAAGAAACAGTCAAAGAAACATAAGTTAAAGAAAAATAACACCAATTATAAAGATAAAAGTATTAAAATTAATACTAAATAAAATGTACATACATTAAAAACATTAGTACACAAGTTTATAACATTTTTATATAATATAAAGCGTTTAAAGCCTTGTATTATATAATATACAAAAACAATTAATTACCATATCCTTATTGCACAGACCTTACAATCAAAAGAAAATACAATTATTTACTTTGTGATAAAATACTTATTTAACAGAATACATAATGAGAGTTGTAATAATATAATAATAAACAATTTACACACATAATTTAAATTGAAAGAAAAATTCATGAAACATAAAATGACCACTCCTTTTCATAGTAAGTGAAACATCCATTAATCGTCTAGTAGTTACCAATGACTTTGTCCATGCAGAATTAAAAAATGTATTAAGCCATTAGTGCATAAAGTTTATTAACACCTTTTTCATTATGATCACTGTAATATATTTTCATTTCGAGTGTATTTGACCATTAAATTGTATAAAATATTTAATCAATATGAAAGTTTAGATTTTATAGCCCGTCCGATAAATCGCTCCCCGGAATGTCATACCAACAGTATTACCACTTCAAATATATATTACACTACTGTTTAAAAAAATAAACTGTTAGTAAAATATATATAACTCCTAAAATAAGAATTTTATTGGCGTCCGATTTATCGAACATCATGCACTAATGGGTTAAACATAGGCTATGTCTCTAAGCCACAGTGTAGCTTCCCAATAGTAAAAGAATTTTTTTAAATCAGTTCAGTATGAAATCAGTCATTAGTTTTAATATAAACAAACAATCAAATCTTTCCTTTTTATAATATTAGTATAGATTAACAATATCAAAGTTAATTAAAAATGAATTTTACTTACAACACATGTCCCTCTGACATTACAGGTATTAAGTTATATAGATTCTCATTAAATGCAGAGTATAGGCCTTTCACACTGACCTCGCCCAGTGAACATCTCAGACTTAGCGCCATTGATTTGAGATCTAGAGACACTGTCTGCAGGTGGAATGTCGGTGTCCTGAGTAGTTCCAATCTTGTTAAATTACTGCAACAACAACACATAAGTCTGTCACATAATTTGTAATAATTTTCAAAAAATATGCCATCCATTTATATTGAAGACAATATTATTTACAACAGTTTTGTTTTGGAAAATTAATATATTAAAAACTAGCTGTTGCCTATACTCTGTCCATGAGTTATAAAATTTTTTATAAGTAACCTATATATTCTTCCAGACTATGTTCTACATCTATACCAAATTTCATTAAGATCTATTCAGCGGTTTCACAGATACCTTCAAACAAACATCCATCTATCTAAACTTTCGCATTTATAAGATCATAAAATCAGCTTACTGGATCCTGAATGACATTTTTAAAACAGTATTAATTTAATTATATAAATAAGTTTTCAAAATTGATCAAAAATAGTGACTAGAGATACAATATAACTGATAGTGCAAAAACTTTCTGAATATATACTTTTTATGTAGTAGTGTGTCATAAACTGTTCTGTACTAAGTAAATTAATCTAAGTTTTAGAATATTTATTATGGTTATTTGAACTTGTTTAATTAAACTTACACTTGGGTATTTTTCGCAAAATAAGATGTATCCTCCAAAACATCAGGTTTGATTTGTTCACCATTTTTATTCTGTTGCAGTATAACATTTGTAAAGCTCTGTAATAATGAAACATTTACAAAATATAACTTAAATATTATTATAAAGCTGTAATGATAAAACATTGTATCAAATTAAAAAAAAAAGAATGCATTTGGATAAAAAACTTTAAAACCACACAGTACAGTATGGTAAATGACAAGCTAAAGTCTAGACTGATATTAATTGACAAATGAATTAATGTAATGGTAAAATGGTACATTATTTACCCGTTTGATAACATCTTGAAGATTTGGTTGAACATTTGTTAATAGATCCAGCAACTCTTGCTTAATATCTACACTTTCTTCGTCAGACATCTTGTCACATACATTACCTTGATACTAATATCAATTTCAAATTCGGTCAAAATATTAATTTGAATTAAATTGATTTATCTAAACATATTGTTTTAGCACAATATCATAATTTACAATTTTGTACAGCAAGGCAGTGACAAGGTGACATTGACAGACACTAATTTTGACAATGTCAAATTGATACCCAAAAAATTACATTGAATTACAGATTATAGACAAACAGTGAGATCAAGTTTTTTAAAATGAACGGTTATATCACAACAATTTAAAAGGTATTTTAATGTGACGTTGATAATTAAAATGACTGGCAAACGAGCAAGCGGCCACCTGAATTCGCTAAATCAGCGAAGTGACCGCAACCGATAGACATCCAAAATTGTAGACGTCTTGCCTACCTTTCATCTACAGAGAGGATGCACTGACAAGTGGTTTTCCCCTACCTATGCCTAATCTTCTTATTCTTCCCAACCTTTTTTTTATAAGATGAAGGTGGTAAGAGGATGTGGACAAAGATTAGGTCTTCAGCACATACACTTAAGAATCTATTAAACTTAGGTTAAAACTAAAGAAGAAAAACAATAAAGATAGGCAAAGTGGGTTTTTGTAATTTTCTATGTACTTTGGTGCTTCTAATAAGTCTATTTCTCATTTTTTCTTCCTGGTATCTTGTTTATAAATATAGAACTCTTTTTATTACGCTTTTGCTTGTGTTTTGGCAAAACGTCATTTTTCTTTTTCTTTTTTTCGATTTCAGAAGATTCACTCTTTGATTGATCTTCGTCACTAAAAACCATAGGACCTTTGATTCTTTCGACTTCCTCTGTTTTCACATTACTTCGATTTTCCCCTTCAATTTCTTCTTCGCTACTACCGGGTGCAGCGTCGCCTTCATGTTTATCAATTGATATCTCAATATTAGTAGCATCATTTCCGCTACCATTGAGCATTTCATTTGATTCTGCTTCGTTAGTTTGTTTTAATGTTTCATTTATCTGTTCTTCATTTTTGTAACTTAACTCATTTTTATTGCGATTGTCAGTATTTGGTTCGTTTTCTTGGGACAATGTTTGCTCTTCTATGTTAAAAGCATTAAGTCTTGGCTCTGGAAACAACAAAATTAGTGATTTGTACGTTTACGTAGAAATAGTTTAATTTAATTTTAAATTTTACTGTTTAGATTTAAAATGTTTCTTACCACATTGTGTTATAGTACTGATCATCTTTACATTGTGTATAATAGCATTAGAAATAAATGTGAAGATGTGACGTTCAAGTAAATTCTTAAAATTTCCAATAATCCTATTTGCAGGTCCTTCTACAGTGATTGATTCTGGCCTAAAGAAAAGATAAAAAGTAAAATTAAAAAAAGTTAATTGAAATGACTTCATTTCAATTTACAAACATATTCCAAAAAAATTAACCAGAACATAGCATCACATTTAATATTTAAAGTATTGTTCTTTACTTACTTTACTTGTTCTAAGGAGTCAATGACTATGTTCAAAGTTTCTGGGTTTTTTGTTAGAATTAGTCCCATGTGAGCTATTAATTCATGAGCTGTTACAAATAATACGCCATTTATCGGAGGCACACCTGTGTTGAATACGGCTTCGTAATGATAAGTTGCCTAATAGAAGAGGTTATCAATTAAGTTTTATAGTTGAAATTAATTTTAACTTATTTAATAAAAGTTATTAACCTGTAAACTACTAAATCCAATCGTCATGTCTATTTTACGAAACTTGTCCTCTCTCTTACATGTCGCTAGACCTCTCCTATGAATTGTGTCTAAGCCCCGTAGCACACCCTTTGTAAGCTTCATTTGCTGGAGACAGAATATTGCAAGGTATCATTACATGTTTTTGATGTACAATTTTTTTTAGAAAGAAAAAGAGACAAGCGAATTTAGTTAATTATGTAACAAAAACACACTACAACAATGTTTATTTGCGAGGTTTTTGTAGTAAACAAGAACATAGTACAGAGAAATGTTACATACCACATCAGAAAAGAAATAATAATACTTTGACCTCTTTTTTAGAGTTTTTCTGGAGCCATATCACTAGAAGTTTTTATAATTATAAGAATCGCTAGATTCAAGATTAAAATAATTAGAAATAGTATTTGTACCATTCCAGTAACAGCAGTAACTGTGAATTTGGGAATTTGAACAGCATCAAAATACAATTCTAATAATCTTTTCTTCATTTTTTCTAAAACTTGATCGGTATAATCGTCAAGTGCAAGCGTTTTTTCCTTCTCATATTCCCTATAAATAAATCAACAGCGGTAGCAACCGTAACAATAACGTCTGTTGCAAAAACGAGTTGGTTTGATTGGTGAAATGAACCACAACCACACAGAAGACAGTTAAAATGGAAGTAATTCAGTGTATGGTCTGACCAGTGTGTATGTCATAGGCCCAATTTTAGTCCTCTTTCCTTTCCTACCTTTTTCTTATAAGAAACGAATTGGAAGCGGAAGTAGTTTTGGCGGAGGAGGGGAATATAGGTAGAAAAAGAGGGTCTTGACAGATGGACGGAAGGACAACAAAGTGATCCTATAAGGGTTCCGTTTTTTTCCTATGAGGTACGGAACCCTAAAAACAAACTCTTTCTCCCTCCGTCCATTACAGGTACAATGCATGTACAATTGCGGATGTCTATGGGCAACAGTTGCTTTAGTATTTAGGTGAATTTAGATGCTCGCTTGCCAAAATACAGCAATGTTTGTCGATATGGTTGTATGATGATGAAAACAAAGAAGATAACTTACAATAATTCAGCATTAGCCTTACTTCCCTCCAAACCAAAATACATTAAATAATCGTTAAAGTAATCTTTCAACCATTTGTCCAAGTCCGTTTTTAATCTGTCCAGAAACTCATCTGCGACAAAAAAATATAGTTAAATGAAAGTAAATACGATGATTTCCAATAAAATCAATTTTATTAAGACATTTACCAATATTTTTCCGTTGTAAAGTTATAGGTTTAGTTGTATCTTCATTATTTTGATACTGTAACGAAGACAGTAACTAAATTAAATCGATACACTAGAAAACAGATAAAATCTAGTAAAGGAATACAGTTTAGATGTAAGCCTTGGAAAATAAAAAAAAATTTTATTAAAGTTTTCTTACATCTGAATTTAATCTGTGATGATGACTAAATAAATTGACAGGTCAATATCGCAGAAGTGTTTTCAATGAAGACCAAAAATGCTAATAATATGCAAAAGCACTTACTGTCATCAATATGTCGTTTGTGGTTATATCGGAAACAACAAGTTCGATGGTCAATTTGTTCCGTAGCAAACGGTACCTTCCTTCCATATTGTATTGCACGTTTCGTAATAGAAATCTATTGTTAACCAAATAAGAAAATACAAATAAGTCGTTTTGCTTACATTCGACCCCCGTAGGTTGGGATAATTCCCAACGGAGGCGATTTTCTTTTTCAGGTGTATAGTTAAGGTAAATAAGAAAAGGAATGCGTAACTTGTAACATACAGCTGGATTTGGGAATAAGTAAAAAACACATTGCTTGAGTTGTTAGGATAAATTGAAATAAATTAGTTATTACATTTAAATATTTGCAAAATTTAGAAAAAATAATAAAAAGTTTTCATTGGCCGTTACATCTAACTACAGCAAGAGCAATAAATGTAATTTTACGTATATGCGAAACCATTTGTCGAGTTTCCTCGTCTATAAAGGAAGTTAATAAAATAGTCCTTCAAGCCGGATAACCGTAAATCCGGCTATATCCGACACAGATGTTGCTACTAACGAAATTTATCTTCGTTTTTGGTTCCACATTGTGTTTTAAAGGATATGAAAAAACTGATATCATAAATACTTGGGATACAATGTACATATGTATACCGTAAATGGAACAAAGGAATGTACAAATATAAATTGGATTGATTTCATAACGATACGTTGGAAATTCTTATCTTACAAAATAAATGTCAAGCTATTTTGAGGTATATCTTGAATCATTGTCGTCATACATGTCGTTTGGGACATAAACATATTATATATACATATTGAATACTCTGGTAACTGAGTAACATCCTGTACTATACTGTATACTGTAAACTGACTGAGACACTAAATACATAAGCTTATTTTCATTTTTTATTCGTTATAAAAAATCGCACTAATTTGGTGGTTCGGTTCTTAGGACGTCAGTACTAGTAAATCTGTCAAGATGTACTTACTCTACTTCACCAAATGTAGGCTTGTAGAAGAGTTCAGATGGATCAGATTGAGTAATAAGACGTTCATAAGCCCCCAGAATGTGGAGATCATTGAGCGATAGCTTGGCAGTCAGCACCATGTTGGCTAAATCATTATGCAAGACATCAACGCGAAAGTGTGTATTGTTCCTGAGCTTCATTCGGTGGAAGAATCTGAAAAGGAGACTTTGTTTACCATCTTATTAGTAGTTAAACCGTGTGGGCTCTTCCTGATTTTAATCTAACAAAGGTGAAAAACAAACGCTTTTGCCTTTTAAGAACTATTATATAATACTTAATTTTTATTTAACCGCTTCAAATTCTTGAACATCGTAAAATTCAAGTTCAAGAAGGACAAATTCTATAGACTAGAGTATCAAAACGATGAAAGGACATTATCGCATAAATACTTCTGCTCGATTATGAGACCTTCAAGTGATATTGGCCAAATATAGGATCATAATATTCATAATACCATTAACCCATTTTTTTATTGCGTAAGAGAATTTCCTTGGCAGGCTCGTAATCTCTACATGACGTAGACGCGGACGTAGCCTTGGAGAATTACATATGGACAGGAATATTAGGGAGCCTCATGTTCCGTGGACCGTGACAGATTACTCGCTGGGACGGAGGGATTTGCGAGATTATAAACATATAAGTAACTCTGAATTATCCTTCTATATGGAGAGAATCCCTTATAAAATATTAACGCTGTAATCTTGTTGCCATCATTACTAAAGACCAATCAGTAAAAAAATTCTTTTAATGGATTAATGGGAAATGAGGTAGATAAATTGCTCCTCTAACAATGGAGTAAAGTATTTTGTTGGAAGGTCCCAATATCATTTGGAAAATAAATTTAACTAAACAAATTAAATCATCAAAATGTTATTAGATAAAGTGATACTTAGTGTATGTCATCGCGTTGCAAATATTAATTTGTAAAATAACTTACAGAATAGAATCTTGTAGTCTCATCATGCTGTAACCTCCAAGATTAATCCCGGCCGGTATGAACCCGGGATCACCGCTGGATTTTTGAGAAACTCGTTCAGCCGCCCCTTTAGTTTTGAGCATCATCTAGAAAAAATAATTGATGATACGAATAATAGAATTTCTGGAAAAACTTCTGCATTTTTAACTCACATCCAACATTTGTTTGTCGAAGTCGTCGCTTTTGATTGCTTCTTCATATTTCTTACGCACTGATTCGTATCGACCTAAGAACAGAAATCAAATTTTAGATAGAGACATATGCAAACTGTAAAGGTCTCTGTTCTGTATACTATTAGACATTATTAGTTAGAATCCTTTAGAGCGAATGGCACGCTTTAGTTATAAAGTCAAGCGTCAGATTGTTTAATGAGGGGACATAAACGTTGATATTTTATAAGGCTAGTATTGCGCTGGTTCAACGACGCCGCTTCGGATTTTCTTCCTAACAATACTTACTGTCCAATCCATCCATTGTTTCGAAATGATTTTGTGCATTTACATTCATCCAGCATTGATTCTTGGGATACTCTTGTTGCAGTACTGACTGTGATATCACAGGAGGCAGGCCTTCTTTTTTTCTTTTTTCAGCATCAAATATTAGAGGTGCTTCTGTTATGTTTTCCTGGTGTATTATTTCAGCGGTGGAAGAATTATTCAGAGTAATGGGACCAAATCTTTTTCTGCTATAGACTTTTCGATTCAAAAAACGTGCTGTGAGAATTATCAGAATTTTAGAACATTAATTGGGATAAAAAAAACAATGTGTAAAGTAATCGAAAATAGACAAAACAAATATTTTGCTACAGGTTAATTATGATGAAATTCACATAAGCGTTATTAGATTTTTTATCTTTACCTTTCCCAGATTTTGATTTATTATTCGAATCACAATTTACATAGGAACAAAAAATAATAACAAATATAAACGTTAAAATTAACAGTTGTACAACAGACGTCGTCATATCGTTAAATCTTTAGTTTAAAAATAAACTTTTAATTATCTTAAGATAACGAGAATTTCTAGTAAAGGAAATTTCAATTATTTTTTTAATTGTTATTCTTTGTTATGCAATGAAAATATAATAATCAAATATTTCCAATATAAAATATTTGAAGACTTTAGAAGTTCACTAGATGTCGCCCGCGACTGTCCGCGCGGGATTAAAAATAGATGTTGGCCGATTCTAAGACCTACTCAATATGCTCTACTATATATAAGATTATTTACCCTTGTCATGAGTTTCCACAGCTTTGTCAAATGCAAAAGAACACCTTTTCATCTCTCTTGAGGGATGACATGATTTGTGCAAGGGTGTCCTATGGAAAACTACGGTTAGGAAGTTAATAGAATATATGAAATAATCCTATGCTACTCTCACGCCGGTGTGGCTTATACTTTTTCCCGATTCAGCTTTATTGTTTATATTTTCCCATACACTTTTAGCTGTTAATTTTCAAAATGCTTTTAAATTATTTTATGCTTGAAAACATTGAGTTTTTAACTTCCTCAACGGCTGATGCCTATTAGGGAAACTCTACTGGAAGCTCAGTAGTATCGACATTGAATAATTGGTAAAAAAACAAGGTCATTTTTAACGTTAATATTTTTGTACAAATATGTATTTATTTATGATCCTACTGTAAATAATGTTACGATTGGATAATCGTTATTATTGCTGTAGACATACTGGCGAATAAGATTATTTGAAAAACTTAAAAGAACAAAAAAATTAATAAAAATATTCTGAGGCAAAAAATGTAATCTTCATTTATAACCCAACATAGAATCTACATTTCTGCTATCAAGGTTAGATTGTAAAAATATTTTCCTTATCTTTTTAATTAAATAACTTAATGAACTTTTGGTTGTAAAACTTTAGTTACATAGTTTAATGAAACATTCCCTCCAATGTCATTGAGACTTTGAGAATCGCTGGAATATGAATTACTTTTTCATTTTCTTCATAGTTTTTGAAGTAATTTTGGAGAACTATCTAACCGCTTCTGATTTTGGATCTGATATTTTAAATTACTATAAAAGCGGTAAGTAAAAAATAACTATTCAGTAAACTTAATCTGTAAAATAATAAAATCCTAGTATTACTGAATGTCATCTCAAGGTTGTGTCGTTTTATGGTATAAAAATCTTCATTATTTTTTTTTGTTTAAATTATTTCGCAAACAGAAACAGTAAGCAATTTTCACAAGCAATGGGAGCTGCACAGAAAGTCATACGAGAATGCTTTAAAACTAGTAAGTAAATCTACTATTGTAACCTAACCAATTCACGAAATGTAAGAAAATCCTAACAATACAAGCAAAATGAACGTTTTTTTTATACACAGGCATTAAGGGATAGTTTTGGAAAAAAAACAATGAATACTATAGAAAGAAAAATGGAGAATGAGTGTAAATTATCAAATGGATTTTATGTTTTCGATAACATGGTGCACGTGTAAGTACTAGTTATATAAAATTTAAAAAAAAACGTTACTTTTTATTAATAACTTTCATAAATGTTCTGAATTTAATGGCGACTTTATCTAACGAATTTGCCACGTGTGTACGTTCGAATTTAATTTACAGACATATTTGACAAGTAAAAATCCGAATATGATTTGCAAAGTTTGAATTTAGAAGCCTATCGAACCAAGATACAATTTTTAGATTTTTTTATCAACTGTAACATTCTAGGTTTCTCCAAGAAATGCATCTCACCGAGTTACCACACTTGAAGGAGCCGGAAATAAGTTTTCCATTAGCGTACAATGCTCTTTCAGTCGAAGTGGAGCTAGGCAAGATGATAATTGAGACGGATTATTATATGATGAGGAATACTTCGGATGTACTATCTGCTGGTGAACAAGATCCATACAAAAATTCACCATTTGTACTACAGCAAGTTCAGGATGAAGGACATTTGGCGTAAGTAAACCTACGGCCGAGGAAGTTTATTTCCTAAACTTTTCGGTGAAATGTAATTTGAAGCAAAATACAATTAGGTCGAAAACTTGTTTTAGCAACAAAGACAGTACAGTCAGCTGTAAAAAAAGTGCACATGCTCTTGACGAATACGTGCATAAGTATTTTTGAAACCAAGTTCCTGAAGTTTTGAAAATGTATGCATATTCATGCAGCTGACTGTACGTTATGCTGTCTAAAGTAGAAAGTGACAAATCATTGTCCATACCTACAAAAATTCACTAATCACTACGTTAAATATTGATTTGAACTATTGAACTCTGTTATTACAGAATCATAGCTGAAGGTTGTTTTGTGAGTGGCTTCACTATAGTTAGATTGACTGGATTTACAGTTACCTTAGGTCATGATACATTTGGTCTAAGAAATTGCAAATTTAGTATCGAGGTATTTAATTTTTTTTAATAATTTGTTTAATTTGTTTGAGGACAGTATTACATTGAAATAATATGAATAAATGAATTTTTAACAATCAGATTTCTGGAGAAGGTTCCGGTTCTCCGCCTGTAATAGCATCTTATTTTTCAAAAGCACAAGGTAATTCTTTAAATAATTGATATATTTATCCATATAATACCATCTTCCAAGCATTTTTAGTTTGTAACTTATTCATTTGTAGCAAGTATTTTAGAAAATATTTTAAGCAAACCAATACGAAAGGAACTTATCGCAAAGTTACGATCAGCGGCGTTTAGTTTTATCAACACTTCTTTTTTCGAAGATGAATTGCCTAAATATCGGTGAGCTACTTAAAATAATGGTTAATTTATTTAGTTACGATCAAAAAAGACAATGCCAAAGTTTTACAAGTATTCAATAATCCAGGATAAAAAAATCAAGTCAAAACCAAGGGTTATGTTACCGAAATATTAATACAAGTTTTTAATTTACACGAAAAATTCCTTAATAGACATGAACAGGAAAAAATCTTCAAACAAGCTTCTACTTACGTCAATCAATATGTACATGACACGATTAAGGAGAGTATTGTGAATAACAAAGCATCTTATGATTTTGATCCGATGAAAATATCTTGGACTGTTAAAGTAAGCATAGACAAATAGAAGAATGAAACTATAATACGTTTGTCATAATTATTTATAGTATTTATAATTTCTAGGAACAAGGTAATACAAGCGAGGAATCTGTTAGTCTTGAAGACATTGTAATCGATGGTTTTGATACAGCATATTCTCCACAAATTGGTGGTCCTTATAAACTAAGAACAGTAGGCATCGCAGACACTCTACGATATAATACACTAAAGGTACGTAAAGGTAATTAATCAAAATTTAAAGAATCCACGAGTGAAGAAAAGAAGCTTTTCTCCTATGTTAGATTTTGGTAGGCTAAAGATTTTTTGGGATAGAACTGTTTAATAAATTGTTTTTTTAGATTCACGGAAAAATAATATTTGAACGGAATGATTTAAAAAATGAACATGGATTTTACATGGAGCTACAAGACGTTACGTTAAACATAAATATTGATTTAGAGGACACTTCTCAGAGCACATTTAACACAGACAGTTACTTTTATTGGAGGTAAGCATTATAAATCTTAATTCAAATCGAGATTCAAGAGTTAAGACGATAGTTATAATTTGGGCGTTTTAAATGTTTATCGATGAAACGAATATTATTTTCCAATTTAAAAGTGATAAGTAATTTTAATTGTAATTCATCCTTATAATTATATAAACCTTAATTGAAAGGAACACGGACTTCTCTATCATAAATCTTGAAGAAACAAGCAAAAGAATTGTAGCTGAATCAATTATAAGTGGTTATTTGATAAATAAAGTATCAAATTATTTAAATAACAAAATACCGAAATCATCGATTGGTGAAACTGGGAAATCGGTGGAAGAAAATGACGGAGAGCATGAACAAGATGGTGACCCAGAAAATGAACAAGATGGTGTTAAAAGTATGGAAGCCAGTGACGTGAGTGCAGTAGAAGAAAATGTTAATATCAATATTTCTATAAATGAATCAGAAGGCAAAGTGGACGACGAAGCGACGTTGAAAGATCAAAATATTGATGAAGTTACTGATAAGGACAGTGAAAAGAATAAAATGAAAAAGGATATTTCACTGGATGTAGAAAGTGTTGAAGAAGCTAGAAGAGATATTCAAATCAAACCTAATCTTAGGAAAAAGAAAGGTTTTCTATCACGCAATAGCAATGGTAAAATCAAAAAACATAAAGATAAACACAAGAAAGAGAAACATTTCCAGGAAAATATCAAATATGGTAAAATAAAGAAACACAAACATAAACATCACACTGAAAAGAAAGACAAGAAATATAAGAAAAAGGGTAAAAAATCTTCAAACACAAAACGACAAAATACACAAAAAATTTCTGGATTACCAATATCTTACGATAATGAAGTATGATAATCGATATTTTGGTTGGTTACATTTCATGTTTTGGGTCACTATTCCTTACGTAGTATATTCTGCGTTTTGTTCTAATAAATATATTTTTAAACCATGTATTTCAACTTAAAAAATAAGGTACCATATTGCTCCTTTATCCAATACACGTGCAATTATATTTATTTTTCATTTCCATTTTAAAATGGTGAGTTACCTTTCTGTAGTAAATGTGTTTTGTCACTTGAAACTGTTCACTTTGAGAGGCTCAACACTTCAATTAACCTTTTTGCCAAGAGCTAATTAAAGAGTATGAACCGTTTCGTCTATTGTTACGGTACGGACGGGAAATATTGCTACTCATATATCTTGAGGCTATTCACCTGTTTAGTTAGGATAAGTGAATTGCTTTGTGTTACTAGTATTACTACCTTAAATGTAACTAAGTTTGCAGCGTGTATTACTATTGAACACAAAATTAAAATTTAGTAAAAAAAAAACTATATTTATTGTAGGAAATTAAAAGTTAGCAATTCAAAAATAAAATAAAAAAAACAGCTTTATCGAAAACTCTCTTAAAACTGCTCTAGTTTGGTAAACCTTACATTTCTATTCTGTCTGTTCTCTTCTAATTTCAAATAATTATGAAGACATAGATTTTTTACCCAATATGTCACGTTTTTATAAAAAACCATAGTATAGGTCAAGATTATACCAAATTCTTATGTTTTAAACTGGTTTATATGCAATACCATCCTCTTCTAATTCTGGTCCGCCTTCAAATTGCCGCATTGGTACAAAACGCCTGAGAGCAAATATTACCGTTACTTATTATTTTTAATAACTTTAATAAGCGAGATACTAGATAGACTACTAGAAAGTGCTACATTTCTTCAACCAGCATTTTGGATTATGCCATAGATACCATACCGGTTGCAACCACAATGACATTCAGAACATCATAGAACATCATACGTGTTTTAATGTTCAAGACTTTAGTAAAACAGCTCAGCAGTATAAGTGCATTTGAAATAGGCATACCTTGTTGCATATTCCCTTTCGTCATCTTCGGGTTTTTCATCAGGCATTTCTTTGAGAATTTTCATTTTTGATTTAATTTTATCTTTGTCATCTAAATCGCCAACTTTATAAAAGTATTCATCCGGGTCTTTTCTAGAGTAGTCTGCTGAGAGGTCTTTTATCGGAGAAAATTTCCTCATAATTATTGAGGAACTTCCACTCTCTAATACCGTCGTTTGAATAGCTGGATTTGGTTGAATTGAAATTTTCTGTACTGGCGGTGTTGTGAATCTGTAATAACTAACGGAACCCTGAAAATATAATATGTATGTAATAATGAGCGTCGGTGGCTTAGGTATTAACCACTTGACTTGTAATCTGCAGGACCTGGGTTCGAATACGTTCTTACGGTAATGAAAAACATCTTGATGCAATCTGCACATACTTATTCACAATTTTAATTGTTTTTTTATTGTAATAACCTCTGGCACATCTTCTTCACTACCCGGCATTTCCGAAGATTGTGACTTCGTGAACTTGGAGAGTCGTTCAGCGTATTTCCTTGTGTCGTCTGCCTTCCCCAATGTTTCGGACAAGGGTTTCTTGCCGCCAGTATCAGCTATATTTTCCTGATAGTCCGTACTGAAGTTTGCTAAAGCAACAAGAAACAGAGTTAGACAGCAAAGTTTCGCCCAGCTTTCAGACGATCTCCGATATTTCTCTAAATTGGATTACCAAAGTCAGTTCTATTCCAAACTAATATGGAATCTACTGGAGAATGTCATATTACAACAAAATAAATATCGGCTTATAAATGTCAAAGCTCTGAGTTGCCGATAATGAAATAAAACATGCGAATTAAGAATATTCCACTTTTTGGAAGATATTATTATATATTATAATATTTCTTTTACCATTCCAACTAAGCTCCAGGCTAGGATATGGTTCACGAAAATAGTCGAATTGCGGGATTCGAACCCCTGACCTCGTGATTGGAAATCCGTACCCTTAACCGTTAGGCTATTGACGCTTATAAATGGTTTCCGGTTACTTACAATCCAAATCATTTCCAAATCTTCTGCCTCCAAACTGTGCCAAATCTGGTCGATCGTTCATTTGTCCACGTCTCATGTATACAGTAACATCGGACCCTAGAAATAAAATAAACATAAGTAGTACTTAGCAAATCATTTAAAAAATACATTATTAGAAAGATTAGTTGATGATTGATTTTTGAAAATGATGGATTATATTTTTTTTTATATCATAAGGTGGCAAACGAGCGAGCGTGCACCTGAAATCGCTGAAATAGCGAAGTGACCGTTGCCCATAGACATACGCAATTGCATATGCGTTGCCAACCTTTAATCGATGGAGAAGAGGATGCACAGAAAGAAAATGTCTTCCCTTTTCATGCACCCTCTCATTCGGAAATTCCACTTCCACTTCCCATCCTTTCCTTATAAGAAAAAGGGTGGGAAGGGAAAGAGGACTAAATTAGGCCTCCGGGACGCACACTAATCAGACGAAACGTGGAATTGCTTCCACTTCACGCCTGTCTTCTGTGTGGTCGTGGTATTTCATCGGGCGAGCACACAATTCGTGCGAGCACACAATTCGTGCGAAGATGTTAAAGCGGGCTCTACCACTGTTATACACATCTAAACTGTTACAGTAAATCGCAAAAATTTTACATGTTAGAAGAATCGTTAGAAGCAAAAATGAATCATTTTAGGTAGCGCTGTATAACCATGTCATAAATTATTAGATAGACCCAGTTTACTTACTGGTAAATGTGAGGAACTCTGCCAATGAATAATTGTAACCGTAAGCAATCCCGGCTATGATGCTGATGCAGAATCCAATGCAAACGATGAAGATCAGCATGCCCAAGAGGCAAAAGGTGATAGCCCTGGAAGCAGTCCAAAGTCTTATTCATTCTGAAAGTTGTTACTTAATTTTACGTGTTTTTGCCCGATTTACAAGAGGGTAATGTTTTCGCTTATGTAAGCTGTAAAAAAAGTCTTGAATCTTACTTGTCATAACTTTTTTAAATCGATTTATAATTTTTTTAATTTTTCGAGTATATGGTCAAATAAGAATGTGTAATATGAACTATTACAGTTTATTAGTTAAAAAGTAAAAAAAAACTATGTTTAAAAAATAATTCAGTAGATGGCGCATCTCATCCACTGGTGTCAGGTGGGTTTTTTTTTAAATTAAGGTAAGGTTATTTATAATACAATATCAACCCGCTACACTGTTTATTACCATTTCTACTAACCTCTGGACAACGTCCAAACTCCATACTAAACAGTTGCATATCTGACACATTGTGCTTGTTATCAGTTGTCTTTATTTGTGGATCTAGAACAATAAACGATTTCAATACAACGAATTCAAAGTTCTAATTGCATGTCATATTTTCTAAAATCAAAACTGTAGCCTTTTTTAATTTCTTGCTGTATTGTGGTATGAAAGGTTAAACAGTCTAGTCTAGTCTTTCCACAGATTAAAAAAATACCTATAAAATACACTATAATGTTCTTATTAAATAAAAAAATATAAATAGCGCTCAAAGACACATAAAAGAACACGAAGTAAAGAGAATTCCTTGTAAATATTTTAACGAGTAGCGTAACCTCAAAGCGTTTCGTAAAAATTAAACGCTTATACAAAGAGAGAGTTGATGTCACAAACGAAAAAAGTAAAGTTACGTATACAATATTTACCAAGGAATTTGTTATTTTTAGTACAAAATTAGTATGTTGATTTTATCTTTTTAAACATCTTTTTGATAGAGCACAAATTGTAGATGCGAACTACAAACATTAATGTATGTGTGAAAAAAGTAATTGATTGATCAGAAGTCACGTTTACACGATGTTCACATGTTATTAACAAAGTATAATTTGTGTATTTAATTTTAACGAGAGAAGACTGCTGCTCATATAAATAAAGCAGTCAAGTATGGCCATAGTCGCGCGATATTCGCACTATTGGAAAAGAAGTTTTGGTATTCTAATTAGACTACACAAGAATCTTACTAATATTATAATCGTGAATGTTTGGATGTTTGTTGGAAGGTATCTCCGGAACGGCTCTATGGATCTTAATGAAATTTGGCACAGATGTAGAACATAGTCTTTTTTTATATATTAAGGTGGCAAACGAGCGAGCCACCTGATATCGCTGAAATAGCGAAGTAACCGTTGCCCATAGACATACGCAATTGCATATGCGTTGCCTACCTTTAATCGACGCAGGAGAGGATGCACAGAAAGAAAATAATTCTGGAAGAACACATAGGCTACTTATTCAGTCTTTTTTTAATTCGGCACGGACGGAGCCGTGGGCGACAGCTAGTATGAAATAAAATGCTAACGATGAAGAAGATCTCTCCACTTATTTTATAAACAATATTTTATCAAAGTAAAACGTAAGTTATTACATACCATCGTATTAAGAATTGCGGCAGAATAAAACTGTACAGTAACATGTTATCATATTTGAAATATTGAAAAGAAAATAAATACAAAAAACTCATACAACGTTTGATTTTCGTTGACATAAATGATCAATGTCAATTTGGTGTCAATCAACAAACTTTTTTATAAAATAAGCTATTACATTTTGACATTCTGCCACAGATATTCTGTTTGGATTTGGCTTTTCATATATTAAGTACTCGATGTGCCAGTGGGCTTATACTGCAACAATCACGCCCATAAGCCAGTGGGGTGGCCAGAGAACCATTTTTATTCTCTTTGAAAGCCATTGGATAATGGTAGAAGTAATTTGCCATCCACACTGAAATCAATTGCAACGTTACCCAATTGTTGTGACGTCAGCAATGGATTGGGTAGCCTTAGTATAATAAGATTATGGAAGTTGGCATCATCCGTGAGACTCGTCGCTTCTCGTCGGCTTAGTCTCACTCGGATCTCTGAAGGATGCTGTTCCGTTCGTCTTTGCCTTTTGTCAAATTGTATCCGCTTTGGATTTAAATACGTGTAATAAGATTGCGAATTCAAATTATATAAAAAAAAACATACAGACGAATTGAGAACCTCCTCCCTTTTGAAGTCGATTAAAAAATAAACAATATTGACGGTTTCGGATCACTTTGTTATATTAGAACTCTACGTATATACTCTAATGGTTAGACTTAAAATATTTTTGAAGTTGAAAATCGGGTATTTATGTGTATTTTTAACAAATATCGCCATTCAAATGAGCCCTTATAGCGTTTTAACGCAAAAATCATAACGCTTTTTGATTTCGTCCCTCACGTCATTGGTAATCTCTTGTGTTGCAAAAACCGTCGAGAAAAATGTATGTGCGTACGCCATGATAGCAGTGTAATAACAAAATCCCCCTGTGTGTTTCCTCTTACGACTACAAAAAGGAAATGAAAGAAATAAATCATACATTTCTTTGCCATATTTATGTCTTACCTACGCAGGATCGTAAATACACCGTATCTTAGCAAATTATGTCAAAATAGGTCCATGTTGTATATAATCTTTTTGCAGGAAATTAAAAAGTAATTTAGATTCTAAGTGAAACAATGACTTCGTGATTTTGTCCACATTTAAGCGTATCTGTAAAACTGATAGTAAAAGGATTTAAACTTTAAAAAATTATGGAAACATACCTTTT